CAAATACTCGACCAACGACTGCACAACCACGAATTCCTCTAAGGGAACTGAGCGTATTTGCATTAACAAGTCCTCCGTTGCCAGGAGAGGGAACAGTTTAAAGCGTTGGGATATTGTTGAAAAAATTTTGAAGAGAAGGAAAATATTAAGAAAAAAGAATTTTTCGAAATGGATTTATTATGAACGATTTTATTAAATTTATCTACTAAAATTATTTAAATTTAAAAATAAATTTATAATTATTCAAAAGGATTATCGTCTAAAATAATATTTCCTTGATAATCTGTAGTTAAAGGTAACCATTCGGGAGGGAAATAATCTTTCTTAAATAAACTTTTACAGTCAATACCTAAACAATTATTGTAATAAATTGGGCTTCCGTCGGGCATTAAATATCCAATCCACCATGCTTCTTTTGAGGTCGAAGCAGTAATTAAAAGAGAATTACAATTGGATATAGCAAAATTAAGTTCTACACCTCTGTTACGTATTGCAGAAATATATATTGGCAACTATAGTTAGATAAATATTATTTATGTTAATTTTGGTAATAAATTAAAAGTTTGGTTTGTTCGACCAAAACAAATATCTATGAGAAAAATTTAATTTCAGCTATTCATTTCCCTCCATATATCTCCTATCCCCTCTATAAATATCTGACAATTTCTCTGTTTAACTGCAATTTTGTAAAACAAATAAATTGAATATTTACCCCTTCTACTCCTCTCACCATATTTAGAAAGTTTGTGTCTCGCCCAATTAACACAATAGAAATATTTTTTGTTCGTTTCTACAAAAAATTTTATGTAATTAATTTTTAAAAATTGTGTATTCAAAAATTATTTTAGTATTTACCTAAATACGCACCTTCAATGTTTTATAAATAAAAGCAATTAATTGTTCTGTAAGATATAAACCAGTAGCTTGGCCCATTTCTAAAAGATTTTCTCGTTCCATATGAACACACAATTTATGTGAAGAATCATTTCTTTAAATATTTTATTAAAGTATCGCATAAGTTTTAAGTCCTGGGCCTTTTTAAGTGAAAACTCCAACGATATATCCTGGTAGAAAAGTTAATTTGTATCTTGTTTGACATGTTTAAGTGGTTTCCCGAAAAATTAACACCACTGAAATAAACTTGGATAAGGGGATTGTGTCGAATGCGGCAAATCTAGAGGTGGATAAATAATTTTTAGTAAAAAATCCCTCATAATTTTAGGAGTTAAATTAGTTCAGAGAATCTATAAACTCAAAGCCTATGCGACACCCTAATTGCTTTAATGCAAATATTTTTAAATTAATTTCAATTAAAATTAAAAAAATAATTATTTTTATTTATTAGAGAATTGAAAAAAATTTTGAATTAATTAGTCTTAAAATAATTTCTTTTCTTTTCATCTTTTAAATTAATTTATTTAATTTACCTAAATAATTTTTTTGTATAATTATTTGTTCGTTCAATTACAGATTTATTAAATTCAAATAAACTTCGAACTCTATCCTTTGCTTTATTTAATGATAAATATTTGTGTGATTGAAGGAGTTTTCCAGTAATTTTAAGTAGAGTGGCATGTGTACTCATTAATCTATAAAATATTCGAGTATTAATTATTATTTTATAAAATTCTGATATCTTTTCAAAAATTAATCGGTTTCATGAAAATTTAAAAATAACTGAAAACCGATAGAAAATTAGTGATTTTTAAAAGAATGCCCACAAAACAGAAGTGATATTTAACTAAAAAATTGTGTTTTAAAAATCTAACTAACGAAATCCCAGAAGTAAAGCTTATTTATCTTACATATTTTAATCTGTATATTTTCTTTTTATAAATATCCAAATGTTTCAATTCCCAAAAAAATTCACAAAAACTACTCATTCTAAAAACAATTATCGGATTACCTATCAGGGTTATCAAATCTACAGCAATGTTCAGCAAAAGCAACAATAGCCGTACTATCACGACTTGGATTCTAAATATTTTTAATATACAAAATTAAATATACCGTATTTTCTCTAGTAATCCCCCAGGGGGATTATTGTTTCAACCCATTTCTAGAGTGGGGAATTAATAGAGACTGGGGAATTAATAGAGTGGGGTAGAAAGAAGGGGGATTATTTTTCAACCCATCTCTAGAGTGGGGAATTAATAGAGACTGGGGAATTAATAAAGGACTGGGGGATTATTAGAGTAAATACGGTAATTAAGGACCTTTATTTTAAAATAATTTTGCGTGTTTTTAAATATTTCTTTAAATTCTTCTCTTTGTTGCAATAAACATTTATCTTTTCGATCGACGTACATTATTCTATTTAAATAAATACTTAATTCATTTAAAGAAGCAATTCTCCACATCTAAAAAATATTTTTAATTATTAGTACTTTTTACTGTAATAATTAATGAAAATTATTTTTTGTTTGTCAAAGTTTTTTGTTAAAATTCATAAAATAAATTTAATTTTATTAGAGTTTTTCACCCATCAACACAACAAGGGAAGTGTTACTTCTAGTGTAACAAGAAAGGTTTAATTTAGAAATCACAATAAAAGTGCTCAAAACTATCGGCATTGTTTCCCGATTTCCATACAACAGAAAATCAAGAAAAGATGAGTGGGGAGACAAGACAAACTAATTTTTGCTGTGAAAATTAAATTATAAAAATGATAGCTTATCCAAAAGAGCTCGTTAAGCTGAGCTGAATGAGACATATCAATAAATTAAAAATAATTGTTTATATTTATTTAATATGTATTTACAACCATAGTCTCGAAATTTCCACATTTTTCTTTTTTCTCTATAGTAACTGTAATATATTTTTTTCTAGGATTAATGTTGCTTGGTCTATTGTAATAATCTAAAGAATTTTTAAAATAAATTTAATAAAAATTAATAATTAATTAACTGTTTGGTATATTCATATAAATAAATATAATAAAAAGATTTCCTATCACCAACCAAACAAACAATATTCCAAACCTACAAAAACGTGGACGAAGACACATTTTATATGAATTTAAACTAAGAAAATAAATTATAATTTAATTGTTCATTCTTAAAACATTTTTATATAAAATATAACAGTTTTTATAAAGATTTAATTTATTTCTTATTAACCAGAAATTTTGATTAAAACTCTTTTCACAATTTTATACTATCAAATGAGGAGGAGGCTTTCAGGAACTTAACCTAAATTTTAGCCTTAATTTTTTAAGGCAAAAAATTATATCAATGACAAACTGACTATTTTCAATAGTTTTAAATATTTAAAGTTCAATAGAAAATAAAATTTTTCATTAAAATAAACTTGAATAAATAATATGTGTTTAATATTTTTAGCTAAAAAGCGTATGAGTGCAAAAAATGAAAAATTAAAAAGCATAATTTTTTTATCTCAACATCCAAATATATTTGATCAAAAAAGGAATATCTATTTCTAAATAAGTAACTCTTTTCTTTTTAATAATTAATTGCAAAAAATAATAATATTTTTATATACATAAATATTTTTTATAATTTTATCTTCAATGAAAACAAAAACAAACAAATTCTTGTTAAACTCAAAGCCTTCTAATACTACAAGAAATTTTTATTTTTATTTTCTCTATTTGGAAGCAATTTTGATTTAAAATATCTTAATACCATATCAAATTACTTCCAATCAATTCGTAATCTATCAAGTTCTCAATATCGAAACTAAATTAAGTGGATAGAAGATGGAAATTCGAAGAACATGTCTGTGAAACAAAATTACTAAATATTTTTATTTAATAAAAAATCGTTATTTACTGATTTAATCTAATAAAGGATTTTTTATTTTAAATAATTGTTTTCTAAATATTTTTTTATTTTACAATTGAATTAATTTTGTTTTTACTAAATATATTCATAAAGTTACATTTTTTGTTATTTTAATAGAAAAATTTTAAATTGAAATTTATTTTCGAAGGAAAGAAGCAGATAATTAAACAAAATTATGAATAAATTTTTTTAATTACTTAATTTTTTAAAAATGCTTGTAGACCGTCGACCTAATTTTATTCTTATTTTTGTTTATTGTTTTATTATTGTCAATATATTCCTAATTATTTATTTATATTTTAAAACACCTCAATTAGGTTTTTAAATTTATTAAAAATAATTTTAAACAGATTTAGATAATTTAAATAATTTATATGAAATTTATAAAGAAGAAATTAACAGAATTTATGGAAATGAACAATTTAAATAATTCTAACGGAAATTGTGGAAGTATTGGGGATATGGTAGAAATATTTGCTTATTTTTAAATAAATAATGGAGGAGTTTTAAAAGTTTAAAATTTTAAATTTAAAAAAATATAAGATATTTTTATGCTTGGCTTGAGTCATAGTCCAATTTATTTTTATATTAATATTCATGGAACTTAACCAAAAACTTATCAGTTCTCCCGTTAGACTTACAGTTGACCAACAACTCTAAAAATATTATTTCTTTTTAAAAAATTAATTTCTGTAGATGTGGAGAACTGCCTCAATGTATATGATTGGAAAATTATTAAACAGAACTGTTTATTATGAAAGTATTTATAAATGCTTTACTGAATACAAACAGGAATTCGAAACTACATTTAAAAACGGAGGCCAACTTATTAAATTAATGGTTGGCTATGTTTAAATTATAAAAATTATTTTTTAAAGGGAATTAATTGTTAATAATTAAATAATTTAAAATATTTAAATACTAATTTGACAATTATAGTTTAATAATTAAGAAGTGATTGTTTTTTGATATTTTTTAAATTTTTTAGAATCCAAAACAAAAATATATAAAAAAGATATCATTCGGAATTAGCTGTTGTGACTTTGATTCCCCATACAGGTATTTAATAAGATTAATTGTGAAATTTTGATTACAATTTAAAGACTTGAAGGAGAAAATGCCCAAATAATTCAAGTTACTGGAAGTGAATTTAAATCATTTAAATATTTTGAAGATTCTGGAGAAGAAATTCAGAAAATGTTTGAATTTAATGAAGATATTAAATTAGCAGCTGATGAAGCTGCAGAAGGAATTTTTAGGTTAAAATTTTGTTTAAATTTTTAAATATATGATCTAAAATTAAGAAATTACACACCCGAACATCGTCTTTGTTTACATACACATAGACACGAATATATTGAAGCAGGGCAGGCTAGTACTTTGGAATTTATTGAAGGATCTATTAAATTTGTTATGAAAAGACTTCAAGTAATTTTTTAAAATAAATTTTTATTTTATTTATTTATTTTCAGTCAACTAATTCAAAAAATATTGCAATTATATTTTTTGGTAGTGATAAAAATTTTCTTTATGAAATTGAGCCGGAAGACGTAAGTTTATTAATAAATTATGATTTTTCATTAGTATTTGATTGCTACGTTTTGTTCCGAGTAGTCACTACATAAACCCCAAGCTCTATTATTAATCCGACCTTAAAAATGTTGCTGGAAAATCACAAAATTATTTGAATTCCTCCTTGTTATTTTGATCAGTATTTTCTAAATTTTGGGTATTTAAGAATTTTTTCATTGTTCTCATAGATAAATGCTTTTTAGTAAATTTGTAGTGAAAATCTGTAAACATATGTACTTTTTAGATAGTATATGGTGTGTAACATAATTAAATATAAGTGAACCCATATTTTAGGTTAAATCTCGAGTTTTTCTTTATGAATTGGTCTGAAAAAAAATATTATCGCAAAAAATGTATTTTCAGTTTAAATATTTTTGATAATTACATATTTGTAAATATTATTTTTTATTATAATATTTTTAAAATTTAGGGGCATAATATTTATATTCCTTCAATAAACAATAATTCTGTATATCTTTATTTTGGAATTAAATATTGTGATTCTTTAATTATTACAGCCCCATGTTCTAGCTTTGCTTGGTGGATGGGTTATTTAATGCCAGAAAATAAAAATGGAAATATTTTTTATAATAATTGTGATGGTTATTGTAAATGTAATGAACAATTTGTTCAAAATTATTTTATGCCAAATTGGGTACCTTTACACAAAAATAAAACAGATGGAGTTAGTATTTATTAATTATAAAATATTTAATTAAAAAATAGAAATTTTGACGATATATTTCGACTAAAATAATTTAATTATTTAATTGTAAAATAATTAAATAATTAAATTGTAATATTAAAAAATTTTTTTCTAATTTCAGATTGATATTGACGAAAATATTTATTAATAAATTACTAAAGAATTTTAAACTGTTAAATATATTTTTGACTTTGTATTTTTTTAATTGTTTAAAAAATAAGTTTGATTAGTTGACAGTTATTTATTACGAGGGTGTATCTCGCTCCGAAAGTCAGGGAATTTGTTAACTATTATCAAAACTTTTTCTAAAGGCGTAAAAATGGATGCCTAAAAATACCCAAAAATTTTTTTGGGTATTTTTGGGTAAAAATTTAAAAATACCCAAAATTTTTGTTTTCGTGTCAACAGCCTTATTGGAAGTTGGCACAGCTTTTGGGCGAGGCAGCTGTGAAACAGCATCTTTTTTGTTTTTCTTCTTGTTTTGGCCTAGCTTCTTCTATTTACTACCTTTTTGCTCTTCTTCTTAGAAAAGGAAAAATATAACAAAATATTCATCCTTTGTTCTACAAAATCATGCAGCAAAAAACCAGCAGACCCTCCCTTGCCAACTTCAAAAACATTGTCATTGTTTATAACGAGCGGTAAATGTTGTTCGAAATATGTTGAATGACTTTATTAATCTCGGATAAAACATGCTTTTATACAATGTTTAGGATGTAAAGTCCATATTTAAGCAGCTGATCAGAAAGGAATTCTCAAACAAAAGCAACATAAAGGGAATTCGCCATTGTCCACTGTTCAACCTCTTGTTTATCAATGCCTTGGGTACTAACGACAATAGCTGCTATGTTCTTTTGGTCCATCATAAGTATTTGGCTTCTTGTTGCTCAATGTTGTTGTTGTAGAAAGGTGATTTAAAAAATTGTTCTATTTTAATATTTTTAAAATTTTCTAGAAGAAAAAAAAAGTTGCAATAGTAACGAGAAGTGCGGAGATGGTGGAACAACCGCAACAACTGGTAGAAGAAGAACCGCAGAAACAACCAGAGCCTGTTGTCAAACCAAAAGCGAGCCCAAAAGACAAACCAAAAGCGGCAAAAGTATCTACGGCTATTAAAGTAAACAAGGAAGAGAAAAAGAAGGCTAAAAAACGGGGTAAAATTTTTGATTAAATTTCAAAAAAATATTTTTCTGTTTTCAGAAAAACCATCATCAACCGAAAAGAAAAAAGCTTCTTCATCTCCTTCAAAAAATAAGACCAAAACAAAAGCATCGGGAATTGTTGGACCGCAGAGTAGCAGTGAGGAAATGTTGGCGTTAAATAAAGGGAAAAAGGTTTCAGCTGTTCTCGCTGCAGAAGAATCTCAAAAACGTTAAGGAAAACTCGAAAAAATTTTCTTTAAAAAATATTTTTTCAGGGGAAGACAGTAGTCTCAAATCGAGTAGAGACGATGTTGATGATAATCCAGACTATGACACATTGGATTTTGTTGAAAAGTTGGATGTATTCAAGAAAGTCGATGGAAAGAAGAAGAAAAAGAAAAGTAATTAGTAATTGTTTAAAAACCTCTCTAATTAAATTTTATTTTAAGGCCAGGACTGATAAACTTACCATTTACGGAATTGGGTTAATGGAATGGATGTTAATTGTTTTTTGTATTCTGGAGGAAGCTAAAATAGATGAAGAAAATATAATAATATGTAAAATTCCGTAAATATTCTTGTTATCTAATATGTTAATTGTCTATATTATATTTGTAAATAAAATACCGGAATATTTTATAATTCTTTAAAATTAATTTTTTTTAAAATAAAATAAAACGGGAAAATTGATCATGGTTGTTTTAGAGTCGGCATTTCAGATTTGGACGTTTCAGAATATTCAGTTAAATTTAATAAAAACGGAATTTAGTTGGGACGAATCGTGGTTTTTGTTCAATGGGACGAATTTAGGAGGGACGAGTTTTGGAGGGTCTTTCTTGACGGCTACCCTACAACTCATCGAATCCTTAACTCATCGAAACCTCAACTCATCGAATCGGCCAAAAACACTCAACTCATCGAATCCTTAACTCATCGAATCCTCAACTCATCGAATCGGCCAAAAACGATCAACTCATCGAATTTTTCCAAAAGGGGACGTTTGAGTCCCCATGTTTATTTTTTAGATTTTTTATTGTTTTGTTTATTTTTTTTTGTTTTCTTCTGGGGTTTCAACTAATTTTGTTAATTAGTTGATCGGGCACTCATCCAAGTTTATCCGGCCAGTGAAAACATTATCAGAACATTATCTCATTCCTGAAAACATTATCTCATTCCTAATAAATTATGCTGGAGATTTTACCGGGTAAAACCGGACCAAATTAGTCCAGTAGACCCCGATTATGCCCAAAAGCCCTTTTTCCTAGCCTCCATAGCAGCAAAAAATTTTTTCAACGAAGATTCAGTTAGCCCTTTCGGGAGAAAAATAAAAACAGGGGACTCAAACGTCCCCTTTTGGAAAAATTCGATGAGTTGATCGTTTTTGGCCGATTCGATGAGTTGAGGATTCGATGAGTTAAGGATTCGATGAGTTGAGTGTTTTTGGCCGATTCGATGAGTTAAGGAATTTTAGCCGATTCGATGAGTTGAGCGTTTTTGGTCGATTCGATGAGTTAAGGATTCGATGAGTTGAGCGGGCACGTTCTTGACTTCTCTAAATACACACTATTTTCATTTTGGGATATTTTGTCATTTTTAATTAAAAATAAAACACAACGCCAAACACAGCAAAATTTAAAGCTGCGGACAAACAAACAAACACACAGGAATTCTAAATTATATATTGGATACTTTTCGTTACATTTCTTTTTTAACAGAAATATTTTTATTATTTTATTAAAATTCAGAAATGTTTTCATCAACTGATCAACAACATTTAATCTCTTCTTCATCCATTTGTCCAGAAGATTCAGCAATTAAATCAATTCTGACAACAAATGGAAGTACAGATGATTTAAGTAGTACAACAAATGATGATGATAATGGAAGTATTAGATGGTTGGATTTTGATTTAATTGATAGAATTTCTATACAAACACAAACTTTGGAAGAAATTATGAATGAGGTTTGTTTTTTGTGTTTTTTGATTTTACTCTTGGATAAATCTGGAAAAGAAGTTCTAGGTAGAATTTTTGGCAATCCCGGAGAATTGAGGTCTTTGCGAAATAAAAAATCTAAAGAAAAAGAGTCTTTCTAGGGTAAAAAAATATGCTGATTACGAATCTGAGCTTTTTGGAAAAGTCGAATTTCATTTAATTAAGATTAGTTGAATTTTATTTAAAACCAAATTATTTACAATAATTTTTTTATAGGAATTTCTGTACCTCAAAAAATAGAGTTTTCTTAGAATCTTCAAGTCAAATTTAACACTGTGATATTTTTCTCTCAAGCTTTTGCCAAATTTCTTATCGAAAAGTTATTTATTTTTCAGAAAAATGAATTTTTACTGGACGAAGAATCTGAAGAATTATTTGGAGGTCTTAGCCCTTTTCCCCCAGCTTATGGTGCTGAAAGCTCTTCAGTAGCTGGTGTTAATATGCCAAAAATTCTTCCAATGGGAAGATATGGATCTGTGCCTGCAGAATTACCTAAAAGTTATAAACTTGATTCTCCTTTGGTTTTGAAAAGAGAAGGTTTTCTTTATTAATACTTGAATTTTTAGTGTTTCCGAAACTTGATTTTTGTTTTTAAAATTATTTCTGGATGTTTTAAATTATTTTATTATTTTTTTTCTGAAATTTCCTCTAAAAATTTTTTTCTAGATACAATTTCGCAACAAATAAACACCAAAACCCAACCTAAATATGGCCATCTAACTTCTCTATGTATCGGTAGACGTTTATTGTCTATTGGAACATCACAAGGATTTTGTTTAATTTTTGAAAAGGAGGGATCTCAAAAATTGTTGCATTCTGTTCAATCAGGAGATTCTTGTAAATTTAGCTACATATTTATCTCGTTTTCATATATTTTTTATAGCGTTTGGCTCAATTTCCTGTATGGATTTCTCAATCGACCAAACTCGTTTAGCTGTTGGATTTAGCACTGGGGCTTTATTTATTTTTGATACAAACACTAAAAGAAATTCAAATAAATTTATTTTCAAATCAAATGATGTTGTACAACCTGGACGAGGATTAATACATCTTAAATATATTACAAGGTTATTTTTTGGATTTTTGGAAAGCTTTTCTTTTTTTGTATTCCTTTATTTAAAAAATAAATTGGTGGGAAATTATTTTATTTTTTAATAGTAATGTACTCTTAATTGTCGACAATGGAGGTAATGTATATGAATTTCATGAGAAGAGACGATTAAACAGACGTAAGGATGGCAATGTTCGGTGTATATTTACTGGATGTAAAGGAGAAGTGCTAAAGTATTTTTTATTTAATTTTTAAAAGAATTTAATTTAAAATTTATTAAAAATTAAGTAAGTTCCTTGCTCCAATCTTTTGCTTTTTTACCCGCAAAAATGTTTTTGGAAGGTGTTCTAATCTATTCCTCTAAAACATTTTCAATTTTATTTTCCTTTTAAGAAAGATGGAAATTATTTTTTTAACTTATGATAATTTTCAAAAACCAGTTAAATATTCTATTTATATTTAGCATTTCCTTTGTCCATTCCTCTGATAATTCTGTTGAACTTCTTGTTTTGGCTACATTTCATCAAGTATTTCTTCTTTCTGTTAAGAGACGAAGTGCTGCTGTGGGTCAATTGAAATTGCATGGTTCTTCTTTGTCACCACCTTTAATTGATTGGCGTGAACGAGTACAGGTTTTCACTAAACAATTTTTTAATTAAAAAATTACTTTTTAGGCACTGTCTCACGCCCGGGCATTTTCTCTTCGACTTTGTATTGCTCGTGATAACGAGGCAAGACTTTATCAAGTCCGTCAACGTGTAGGAGGCGATTTGCTTTTTCCAATTTTGCAAATTTTAAAGTTTTCTACTCCTTTGATTAATTTAAAATGGTTAATTATGATTTTTAATACAATTATTATTAATTTTATAAATTTGTTTAAAGGATTGATGATTGGTCTTTACTTGCATTATGTACTACAGAAAATAATATTGAACAACTTCAACTTGTAGAAATACCTCAATTTTCTGCTGGTGAAAGGAAAAACTTGCAAAATCAAAAATGTATATATTTATTTTAAAATAAATTTTTCGCTCACAATCACTTCTTTTATCGTTTTCTCACCGTTCTTTGTTTATGCTTTATTGTTAGACAAATTTTAAATGAACTATTTTGGATTTTTAATTTATTAAAAAATTAATTTCAGCAACTATCCCAACCTTCTCTGTCAACCCGTTTGTTACTTTGGACATATCAGAAAGTGTCAAATTAGTCTACAATAGTGTTGACTTCAAAGGACTAGCAACTGGGTGTAATGTTAGCAAAGTGAGAATTTTTTAAATAATTTTTTCCCATTTAAACAATTCTTTTTAATTTTTGACATTTTTTCAGGCAATGTTAGCTGTAGCTGATTCTATTTGTTATCACACTTTCATTAGACATCCTGAGGATAATCATCTTTACCTTTTGGGTGCTGATGCCCTTTTTCGTGTACAATTAATTGAACTGAATGAACAGCTTGATTCTTTAATTGAACGGTTGGTTAATTTGCTTCGAATAAGATTGGGTGACCTTTTCCAAAACACTAAAATAGACTCAAAAATAGGTCAAAAAATAGTGGGATTTTTATTTATTATCAAAAATATGGAGATTATTATTTCTTCCCTAATTATTTCCAGCTCTGATTTTTGTTCTGCTCTAATGTTTGTTGTTGATATTTGTTGTGGCAAATTGGCTGATCGAAATACTACAACAATTAAGACAGCTAATTTTCGTGCAAATGCATTTCGTAGAATTCCAGAATTGGTTTCTCAATTACTTGAACAGACAATGGATGGAATTGATTCTGGACATATCGATGAATTAATTGTTTATTATAAGGTATTTGATTATTTGAACTAGAATAGATAAATATCAGAATTCCTAAATATATTTTTTTATTCAAACTTTGGGTTGGGGATTGACCTGTGGATTTGATGGAATATATTTTAAAATCATTTTGAGCTTTTATGATATTTAAATAATTTTCACACAATTTAGCAAAACTTTCATGTATTAATTCGTGCATGTGTTTCAACAAGTCATTTCAATTTACTATATGAAACTATTTATTCTCGTGTACAAAAAGATACTTTATGCCGTTCTACTTTTCTTGAAATGCTTGAAGTATTTTTAAAATTAATTTTTAAAAATTGTTAATTTCCCTTTTTAAAGGAATTTGTTTTAGAGAATGTTTTATTTCAACCTCCTCCATCTTTAGTTAATGATTATTTAAATTATTTACTTTGTGAAGGACAAATACCTCAATTTGAGCAAAGCGTTATTCGACTTCCTGTTGAGTCTATGGATTTACATCAAGTAAGGTATTTTTGGGGATTTAGAATATTTTTTTAGGTAATGACTGCTTGCAAAGAGCATCAACTATTCGATGCAACTTGCTATGTATTTAACAATGCTATGAAGGATTATATTACTCCTTTGAATGTTTGTCTAATTTTTTAAAATTCTTTTTAAATTTCTTAAAATTTATTTAGGAACAATTTGAACTTCTTAGTCGTTTTGTACATAAACAAGTTCTTTCGGACCATGAGATTGTTCAAGGCAACAAACTTTTGTTGTATTTAAGTTGTTGTTTAGTTGGCCGTGCTTATCCTCATGGAGATTTACCTGATGAAAATTTAGCTTTAACAGTGCCTTTAGAAACTTATAAAGTTTGTAGATATTCTGTTAAATTTTTATAACATTTTTAGTTTATTGTACAACTTCGATCATCTTTTTCTACTTCAAGTCGTTCTTCTTCTCCACAAAATATTTCTCCAAAATTTAATGAATTTCAAAGTTTTCCACATTTAAATATTTTATTAAAATTCGATGCTTTACAATTTTTTAATGTTATTAGTACTTGTGCTGATGCTCCTGTATTTGCTAAATGTGAAGGTATTATAATATACAATTGATTGTTCATTATAATCGGTCCTCTCCAAGAGGGTACCGGAATTTTGTTCACTAAGATTTTTCGGAACTTTGATCCCCAAACGTAACGTTTGGTGACCAACTCAAAATTCCGGTGACCAAAATTCCATACACCATTCCATCTAATGTAAGGAATTCTTCCGCACTAAATATTTTTTAATTTTGTTAAAATATTTAAAAATTAAAACAGGTCGACTTAAACGTCTGGTTGATATGCTTATTTCTAAATGCGTGGAAGAAGACGATGAGGAGAATGAGGATATAGATTTAATAAATGAGCTTGGTCCTTTACTTATTACTTTTATTAATGGATTATTACAGAAGGGTGCTATCCCAAAGGATATTTATTTGTTTACAAAGGTAGGTCTCGATTGAAAAATAGTTGTCATATTTTGTCATTCATAAGTAAAGTATTGCTTGTCGATTAAGATTATAGATTAAAAATTTTTTCTTTATGATTTAAAAGAGAGCTAGCGGGCTTTTGTTGTTGTATTAGAAGAATTGTTGATCAACTCTCCCTAGAAAATTCATTTACCAAATAAATTAAATATTAATTTTCAGTTAATTGAACGTGTTTTTCTACGCCGTGCTTTTCCAAGTCTTCGTGTTCAAAAAGTTGCCGAACAAAGTGCTGTAGAATTATTAAGACTTGTCCCAGAAATTGACTTGGATAAAGTCTTGGAAATAGCTCAACCTGTACCATAGTAGGGAATTAACATTTTTTAACTTTAAGAAATTTTTAGTATACATATTTGTGCTTATATTTTTACTATGCGTCGTGAATATTTTAAATTACTTGAATGTTTTTTGGCAGATCCACTTGAACCTGTATGTTTATTTTAATTATTATTAATAAAGTTTTTAACTGATTTCCAAAAACTGCATATTTTTTATCTCTATATAACCATAACCTAGAATCCGTTTTTGTGTCAATTATCCTCAAAAATCGCCTCACGAAACTATTTTTTTTAATTAATTTACATTTTTTTAGCTCAATGTATTCCCAACAATGGTTGATTTACTTAATTCACTTCGTGAAACTGAACAACAAGAATCTTTACGCCAATTTGTCAGACAAAAATTAGAACGTTTATGTTTATTAGATTCTCTAAAAACGGCGGAATTTGTTCTCTCCAATTTTCCAGAACTTTTAATTGAATGTAGATCAACACCTAAAAAACTTCCTTTATCTTTTCTAAGTAATTGTTTTCGAATAAGGCGAGAACAAAATTTTAAAACATTAACTGGGGGAGAAGAAGAATTGGATGAATTATTCTTTGATTACTATTTTGAACAAACAATTAAACAGCAAAAAACAGAATTGGATCTATTGGATGCTAAATTGGTTGATGAATTGCGTTATTGGCTTCCCCTTGGATCCTTTTCTGATTTTTGTTTGAATATTTGTATGAAACAACCTAAAGGTAAATTGAAAAAATTTTTTTTATTTTTTTGTAAATCAGATATTCAACCTTTGTATTAGCTGATAATTAAATTTAAAAATTTATTAATATATTGTTATGACAATTAAATTTAATTGAGTTTCCACAAAATACTTTTTGTTTTTTAAGGTCTCCTTGTCGAATGCAGTGCTCTATTATTGTTATCCCGTGGGCACATTTCTCGAGCATTTGAACATTTTTTTAATGAAGGAATATTAAATAAATGTTCACAAAGTTGTGTTAATTTCCTTTTGGAGTTAACAGCTACATATCCGACAGAAGCACAAGATGGTGATTGGTTGAACAAATTATTTAAGCAACTTTTGAACACACTACATATAAAAAACGTTAAGGATAAACAAGAAGAGGGTAATTTATTTAATTTTTAAAATGAGTTGAATGAAATTTTATTATTTAATTTTAAAATATTTTTTTAAAAATCCTACACTCAATAATGATGTTTTTCAATTCTGACATGAGAAGTTTATCGTTTCCCTAATTTCAAATTTTATGGGTTCTGGTATTTTCCACACACTTTTTCGTTTTACCTCAAAATAATATTTAAAAATTAATAATTTTTAAATTTAATAGATCCTTTCTCCAACTTGCTCGGATCAGATTCTCCATTACAACGTGTTTTTAACGCAATAATAGAGTTCGATGATGGCCGAATGAATTATAATTCAAAACAACAAATTCCAATAATTTCATTAATTGAAGAATTATTTTCTCATAAATCTTGTCAAAATTTAAAATTTTCTTCATCATTTAAAAATCTTTTACGACAAATGCTTTTAGTTATGGAAGTTCGCCTTGTTATGAAGAAAGCAACTAAGGATTGTGTTGGTAATGAATTAATAAACAAATGGGAGAAATTGGCTTTAAAAAGGTAATTAAGAGGACGATTATTTTTTAATAAATAAAGGCGAGACTTTAGAATAATTTAACGTCTGTTTAAACCTTTAACACCTCAAATTTGAAAATTTAAAACGAAATTTGGAAATTATTGGAAAACTTTTCCCATGATTCAATTTATATTTAAGTTTCAAAAAATTTCGAGTCAAGAAATTTAAAGTTAGGAAGAGTTGCTGTTTTTGAGTCAAGAAATTCTGTGGTTTCCAACTACCCATTTATTCAATTTTATTTTTAAATTTCAATAATTTTTAGAGGTGCATTTGCTCAAACAATTTTGCCAAATAAAACTTTAACAACAGATCAAACAGAATTTCCATCCTCTTCCAACAATCAAAATAACAATATTCAGTCGCAAATGGATCCTTTATTATTACGTTGTTTTTGTTGTGATCAACGAATTATTAAATCTTTTTATTTATTTTCTTGTGGACATGTAATGCATTTGGAGTGTATAGATGAATTTGAAAGAAAATGTTTATGTGGGAGAGAAAGAGATATTGATAATGAGAGAGAAGGTCTTTGAAATAAATTTTTTTAATTTTTATTTTTTAAATCTTTATGAAAAGAATTTCGAAAAAATTATCAAAAAATTAAATAAAAAGTATAAAAAAAATTTCATTTATTTAGATATTAACAAAAATTATTACGAAAACGGCGAATCTTCTGATTCCTCTTCCGATAGCACACCCCCACTTGAAAGGCTAAGAAGAAGGAAAGTGAAAGAGGCAGCTGCTCTAGCATCTTCAATACCTACAATTACAAATGAAGAAAGGTGAAATTAATTATTTTTCATTATTTTTTCTCTCTTCAGTATTTTGTTGTACTTTTATTGCTGTGTTTCTAACCGTTTTTAAGATAGAAAAATTTTTCTAAAACCAATTTAAATTTCCCTTTAAGTAAAACCAGTATTCGACTAAAACGCAACAGGATTTTCAAAATTTAATTAACTAAAATTGGGATAGCCAATTAACAACTTTCCTAATCTTCTGATTAAGAATTCGTAACGGGAAATTTTTCATTTTCTAAAATTTAAAATAGGTATCTTTAGTTTTATAAAATACAATACAGTTGTATACTTCGTTAGGATTTGACCCAATTCGATTAATATTTGCTTCTGGATTTTCAGTATAACGAGATTTAACTGTATTAGATTAATAAAATTAATAATTAAATATTTTTAGACAATCAGTCAGTGCTGTGTTTCGTGAAATCGAGACTGCTTTTCAAATAAATCCCGGTCCACGACCTACTAGTTCTTGCTATTTATTAAAACAACAATCACAAAATCCTCAAAAACATGGCTCAACATCTTCATTTGCTCCAACTTGACTTTTTTATCTTCAGACTTGTCTATTTGACTTTTTAAAAATAATATTTAGAAATTCTAAAAAATATATAAATTGTTTAAATTTTTTCAATTATTTTTACTGAATTATTTTTTAAATACGAATCTTCATTTATGTATTTTAGAGAATATATTTATTGTAATGATTTATTAGGACTGACTCTAAAAATAAATTTCTGAGATCTTTCTAATGCCAGGGTTACGTAAAAATCGCGCGCGTTTTGCGACAGAAAAGATAATGGGAAATGAGGAGGGAAAAGTCGCACGCGATTTTGTCTCTCCTTCTTTCTAATGCTATTTTCTGTCGCAATAAGCAAAGCGACTTTTATGTAACCACAGCATAAGGGGAGAGTAAAAAACCTGACATGTGGATGAAATTTTGATTGGGGTTAGACCTATTATTGATCATGATTTGTAACCTTTTTTAACTTTCTTTAGGAACTGTGTGAATTCCGATTATTTTTAGAGTACTTCCCTAATAAATTATAAACCAGAATTTTTTATTTTTTATAAATCTTGTAAAAATCAAATAAAATTTGTGATAAATTATAATTTTTATATTTTTAATAAATTTTATTTTTAAATTGACAATAAAAATCAAAATATTGGGTAACATCTTTTTTTGACTTTATATTTTCTTAATTTTTTTGGTGTAATTAAACCTGTTTAGGTGTCCCTCCCTACCCCCTAAATCTAATTTCTAAATTTATCGAAATTATTAAAAAAAATCTTTAATTTTAATTATAGAGAAAAAATAAAATTTTATTTCCTTCTCTAAAATACTATTTTAGTTAAAACTTAATCACCATAGCAACATAATTGTTAAAGCATAAATATGATAAACGAGAACATTTTCGCTTAAATTTAGGTTATACTTAAATAATAAAATTTATTTTAAAAATTATTTAAAAAAATAATTAGTACATCTTCATAAAAATATTTAAATAATTTTATTTATTTCTAAATTTTAATTATCTAAATGGGCCTATTAAAGGCTTTAAGTTCTTTAATTAATAATTCAGGCAAACCTGTAATTTTTTAAACAAATATTAATTAATTTAAAAATATGTTAGGTAGACATTCTTGTACTTGGTTTAGACAATAGTGGAAAAACAACAATTTTAAACCAATTAAAACCTGCAGAAACACAATCTACCAGTATTACCCCAACTGTTGGTTATAATGTTGAAAAGTGAAAAAATAAAAAAAATTAATTTAAATTTACTTTTTTGGAAGATTTTCTGCCGCAGGAATGACTTTTAGTGCTTATGATATGAGTGGACAATCACGTTATAGAAATTTATGGGAAACTCAATACAAGTATTACTTCAAATAACTTTTTATTTAAAATAAATTTATATGCCCTAACCTTCCCATTATTTTAGCAATTTATGGGAAATTAGTTTTAAATATTAAAAAATTGCTCAAATTCAGAAACATAATTTTGTTGAGAAATTAAATTTTTTTCAAAATTTATTAACAAAAAATTCTAAAAAATTCAGAAATGTTAATGGAATTATTTTTGTTGTTGATGCAAGTGATAAATTAAGAATTGCTGTTGCTAGAGATGAGCTTTGGATGCTTTTAGACCACAAAGATCTTACTTATAAAAAAGTTTGTAAAATATATTAGAAATTTAAAGTAACTCCATTTCCGATCAAGTTTTCGAACGGGTTACTTGCTTAGAAACGGGACTGAACCTCGAAGCCCAAACATATAACCCCTCCCAAAGTATAAAATACATACTAAAATATTTTTAAATAAATTAATTAAAACAATTATCGTTTAAACCAATTTTTTAGACTCCCCTTTTAATTTTTGCAAACAAATCAGATGTTAGAGATGCCGTTCCAGCTTCTGAAATTCATCTAAATTTGGGTTTAGATCTTATCAGGTTAAATATTTTATAATTCAGAGAAGGGAATTTAGTGTTTAAGGAATTTAAATAATTAAACTTTATTATCGTTTTATTGGAAGTTAATAAAAATCTAAATGACATAAAATAATGCCAAATATTCCTATTTAATTTACTAAAAATTAGCCCATTTTTGCTAAATTTTGGGGAGTGGCTTAATTTAATTAATATTATAATAATTCCTCGTTTAGAAATCGAAATTGGCATATAGTCTCAACATGTGCGTTAACTGGACAAGGATTGGTTGGGGGAATTGATTGGTTAATTAGTTAAAAATAAGATATCTTTTTTTTAAATTTAAGGTTAGCCAACAATATAAAACAACTTTTATCGCCTAGCAATACATAAATGTGTAGATAATTAAATTTATATTTTAATATTTATTTTGAAATCATGTATACCGTATTTACTCGATTAATTCCCCCGAGGAATTATTTTTTCAACCCATCCCTGGCATGGGGAATTAATAGAGGGTGGGGAATTATTCGAGTTTTGAAATTTGAACGTGAGGTAGGGTATTTGGAGGAGGGGAATTATTTTTTCAACTCATCCCTGGCATGGGGAATTAATAGAGGTTGGGGAATTATTCGAGGGTGGGGAATTAATCGAGTAAATACGGTATATTTAAATGTATAAAATATTTTTTTCTAAATTTTGTTATTTTCCCTTATTACATCCATCAGAGCATTTTTGAATTGAGCCAAAATTGTGCTTTCCTGCTTTTTGTCCAAGTGGAAATATATTCTGTTTGGAGAAGAATAAATAAATTTTAATTTTTTAAAATTATTTTTGGAGGTTCAATTTCTGCCAATTTTTGAAATTTATTCAAAAAAAATCTAGTATATTTTAGATAAAACTTTTTTTTTCGATTAAAACCCCTTTAAATAATTAAATTTAAAACAAACAAATTCTTTGTGGGCACATATGGCAACACATTCTTTATATTTTTGTAATGCTGCTGGTTCCATTATTCTTTGCTTACTAACACTGTGTTGAATGGGAATCTGTTAATTTTTTTATTTTAATTAGACGTCCCTTTCTGACAGGACTTTTTTAGTTAAAGTATTTTTATAAAATTAATTGAACGAAATTTTATTTTTTACTAATTCAAAAAATTCTTTTTACCTCAGGTATTTTAAATTTATCAATATTCGCTGATTTAATTTCATAAAGGAAAAAAGAAAAAATTATTAAATTTAGAAAAATAATTGGGGAAAATTTAATCATTTTTTAGAAAATAAAATAATTACTTATATTTTTATGAATTTATATTTATATATATTTTTTAAATTTTTAGTATATATTCAATCATCATTTTAAAATTTTTTTTTAATTTAAAATATTTTTTAAAACAAAAGAATTCTTTTTATTTCTATTTTTATTTTATCAACATATTTATTTCTCAATTAAAATTAAAATTGGGTGTGATAATAAACAATTAATTAATTATAATTAAAATAATTACCCAATTTAGGTAAATTAAAAAGTGCTACAAAATTAAAAATGGAAATATTTTAATATTAAAATATAATTTGTCTCATTTTTTTATTTTTAAAAAGAAAACAAAATCATTACAAAAAACTCAACTAAATAATCCAACGGATTAAAAAATTGCCAAATAAACAATTTAATTAATCTTTTAAAATAATGAATTTAAATGATGAATTTAGCATAAAAAAACTTTCTTTTACTAATTCAGTCATTATTATGAGAATATAAAATGAGAATTGGAGTCAGAATTGAAGTCTGTGTGAATTAAGTGAATCATTGAAGTGAATGAATTGAAGGAATTGGCATTAAAAAGAAAAATGAACTTTATTAATTAAGAAACAATTTTCATTAAAAAATATTATCCTTATAAAATTAAAAATATATAGAGGAATGAACAACAAATTCATTAATTAAAATATATTAAAAAATATTTTGCTTTAAATATATATTTACGAGCTTTGTTGGCCTTAAGCAATAAGGTTGTCGGATTGTTGGAAATCTTCGGATATTCGGACTTTTTTCCTGATATCCGGATCCGCCAACCTTATTAAGCAAGGCATTTTCTTTATTGAATAAGGTTCGTTTTTAAATTAATTTCTGGAATTAATGTGAAAGTCAAATAAAATATGTATGTATATATAAAATTTCGGTTCCAGTTTTTAACCGCAAATTTCAAAACTTTTAATTAAAAATATTTTAAATAAAATAATATTTTTTAATTTTTAAAGTACCATATGTCTATAATTTTTGTTTTTTTATAAAATAACCAGGCCAAACTAGATATATTATTGATGTCCTCCAACTGTTGCTGCTAGTCTTAGCCGATCGATCAGAGAAATGTAGGGGATATAGGTATATCCAGAGTATATTTGTTTGTCTGGACATAAAAATATGTATGTATTTGTGGCTATAAAATTATCCAAAAATATTTTATTATTAAAAATTAATTTCTCCAATAAATTAAATTATTTTTTCGGTATTACTCCTTCCTTATATATGTAGAATTGAAAAAAAACAATGCAAGATAATTAAAATAAGTATTTCAAATACTTTATTTGTTGCATTTATTTAATAGAAAATATTCAAAAATCTTTGCAGAAAAATAATTTTTTAAATATTTAGCAAAAAATATCATAAATTTACGTACTTAACCAACTTTTCCTCACTTGAATTTTTTGTTGGAGAATACTTACAATTATTTGCTAACACGTTTTTGCTCAAATACTTGTATTGTTTTTCCCTTAAAAATATGTACATAATTTTATTTTTAATTTTTCTTTGTCTGTTTATACAATTTTAATAAAATCAAAAATTAAACCAATTTTGATTTTTTTAAAAATCTTTTCTAGATAATTTTAAATAAAAAGTTTTTTTTTAATTTTTAATTTTGACTTATCTCTCCCTCCCTCTAATTTTTTTTAATATTTTTAAATTTTTCTATCAAAATCCATTAATAAATTACTTAATTTACTCTCTTTAATTTAAACAAACAAATACACCTTTTTACATGCATTTCTATTTTTTTAATTTCGTCACCTTCTCATTCTCGACTATTTATTTTTTTTTATATATTTTTTTCTCTTTTGAATATTTTGCATGCTTTTCGGCCTTTTCCTTTTTTTTTATTTCACTCATTAGTTTATTCATTCTATTTTGCCATATCCAACCAATTTTTTTCCTCTTTTATAACCCTTCTTTATTTATATACAATCCCTTTTTTTATTCTCAACACCTCTGCTTTGACATTAAAATAAAATGCGCTTTTGCTTCTAAATTAACAGTTTATTATTTAAATAAATACACGTTTATTTATTTCTACATATATAATTATTTTGAATAATTATGTAAAAATTATTTTTGTTTTTTGGAAAATTGTGTAGTTTTATGCGATTCTGAAATTAGTAAAGGAGAAATTTCTCGGCGTCAGGGTCGAACACCATAATTAATAAACTACTAATTAATTTAAGTAATAATTAAATTAAAATATACATTAATTTTTACTGTAAGCATTACTTAAAATTTTTTGATGTTTTCTTAATTAAAGTTCTTTTTTAGTTAACCTTGTATTTTTTGTTTAATTTTAGAAAATTATTTAACTTTATGCCTTAATAATTATTTTATCTTTTATTAAAAAATGTCTGAAAAGGAGGAAAGTGCTGGTGGTGAACAAGATGATGTTTCTTTTTTAAGAACTGTTGGTAGAATTAAAAATTAAATAATATTTATATAAATAATATGTATATTTGGGCTACAAAACAGATAAGTAGGATTTAGAAGAAAATAGAAAATGATGTAGTATTTAAAAAATATTTACTATATACTTTATGAAATAACGTTTAAACATTATTTTAATTAGCAAATGGATTTAATTTAATTGTTATAAAATTATTATTTTAACAACAAAAACAAAACTTTACTTTCAAAAATCTTAAAATAAGAAATTATTTGGAATAAAATTTAGTATAAATTAAGGGAGATATAATATGTTTAACATGCCTTGTAACAAGCCAAAAAGAGGGCGCAGGTGGAGAGTCAGAACGTGTTTGTTTAGCTACGGAAGGTTTTGGCAATAGAATGTGTACATTAGAGAATGTTTCTGATCGTGATTGTCCGCCAGATATTTCTTCTTGTTCTTTATATATTGAGAATGCACTTTCTGTTAGAGCTTTACAGGAGATGATGAGTGCCGATGGAGGGAATATTGGTGGGAATGGTAGAATTTTTAATGAAAATATTTTTTTGGGTAATTTAGTACAAATTATTAGTCTTTTGTTTTTATTGCCTATTTGAAGAAAATTTGTCTTAAGTTTGTTTTTCTGGGGGTTCTGGGTCTGAGTTATTTTTTGTTTTATCCCACATTATCCTTCATTTAATAGCCGGAGGGGGTACAACAACAGCAACAAACACCACATCAAATGATGCAACAACTTCAAAAGGAGGAGGACACAAAACACTTCTTTATGGCCATGCTGTTCAACTTAGACATGTTCAGAGTTTAATGTATTTGGCATGCCTTTCATCGTGTTCTTCGAATGATAAATTGGCTTTTGATGTTGGTGTTCAAGAAGGGAGTGAAGAGGGAGAATCTTCCTGGTTTGAATGATATATTATGACAATTAAACTTTTATAAAAAGGTGGACAATTCATCCAGCAAGCAAACAAAGGTCAGAGGGAGAAAAAGTTCGTGCTGGTGATGACGTTATTTTGGTCAGTGTTGCAACTGAACGATATTTGGTTGGAAATTTAAAAAATATTTTTAATCTAAAAAATAAATAGCATATGACGGTAAATGTCCAGTTGACTCCCCACCTGTCCGCAAAGAGAATACGCACTTTTCACTCTTTACTTGCATTTTTTCCTTCAAAGAGTGGCGCCCATTTTTCCTTAAGTATGGTATGCCGTTTGCCTCACGAAAAGATATGTAGAGAAAAATATGTATAATACTAATTAGATAATTAATTCAAATTCCAAAAGTCTGGTTTTTAGTTTTGAATTTTGGTAATATAACGGTTTTATTCTGCGGAATTTTTTTAAATTCGTTCATTTTTATAAAGTTTTTAAAATTTCATAAAACGGTTAATTTTTTGGCAAATCTTAAAATTCCGGTTTTAAATAAATTCCATTTAATAGTCGATCTAGTATTAATTTGTCAAATAGCAAACGGTTATCATTCCTATATTATGATCATTAAAATGTTGTTAGCCCCCGTGATCTTTTAGAAAAATAAATAAAATTAGCCCAAGTTTGCTTTAAATTTTTATATTTTTCTCTATATATCTTTACGAGTCAAAGGGCATACCATACATAAAGGAAAAATGGGCGCCTCTCCTTACAGAAAAAATGCAAGAAAAGGAGTGAAAATTGCGCATTCTCTTTGCGGACAGGTGGGGAGTCAACTGGACATTTACCGCATATGACTAATGTGGCAGAAGATGCATTAATTGGTGGGAGATTGGGATATATGGTTATTGCTTCTTTTCATCAAACACTTTGGAATGTTACTTCGCTAAGCTCAGGAAGTGTTCGTATAAGAAATATGGGTAAATTTTAAATGATTTATGAAGCATATTTCTCAAAAATTAAGGCCATCTGTTTGGCAACGACGTCCTTCGCCTCTTCCACGGAAATGATGAATGTTTAACTATTCCAGAGAATTGGAGTGAATATCCCTTACATAATTTAGTAAATTTTCAAAGAAAATTATTTTTTAAAGAAAAATTAAAGATAATATACGAAGGAGGTCCTGCTGTTACTCAAGCAAGATCACTTTGGAGAATAGAATTAATTAGAACTAAATGGCATGGAGCTCTTGTTGGTTATGGAACAAGTAATCCTATTTTTTAGACAATATTTGTCATTAAATTTTTTAAAAATTTCTTTTAGCCTTTTCGAATTCGGCATATCACAACAGGCCGATATTTAGGAGTTGTAGAGGGAATGAATGAAAAACTTGTCCAGCTTTTGCATAGAGACCGTGCTACCTATCAAAATAGCGCTTTTGTACTTTGTCCAAATAAAGATCCAAAAAAGCAAATGTTGGTTGATGAAAAAGAAGAGGAAGGAATGGGACAAGCAACAATACGTTATGGGGAAACAAATGCTTTTATTAGGCATGTTGAAAGAGAAGTATGGCTTACTTACCAAACATCTGAAGTTACAAGAAAGGGGATTGGAAAAGTTGAGGAGAAGAAAGCTATAGCACATAGTGAAGGTATTTTTGGGAAAATTTTTTTTGAATTTTTTAAAAAGCCTCTTCACGTGTTAAAAAATATTTTTTATAGGTCATATGGATGATTGTTATACATTTTTTATGGCATTGAGCGAGGAAAGTATGTCCGCTCGAGTAATTAGGAAATGTTCTGCTGTTCTGAATCGCTTTCTAAAGTAAGCAGAAAAATTTATTTTAAAACTTTGGTCCCAAGAATTTTACTTTTCTTTGTCTAGACCTGAACACTTTATTATTATTGAAAATTATTAATTAAAAAGTTTTTCTTTTATTTTTCAATAATTTAAGAGGAATCGAAGGCCTTCAAACAGATGGAAATGAATCGCGTGATTGGCGCCGTGTTGATCTAAATGAAGTTTTAATGCTCATGAGAGACCTTATTGACTATTTTGCACAGCCTGAAGAGCAACTAGATTTCGAATCGAGACAAAATCGTTTTCGGGCTCTCAGATCAAGACAAGATTTATTCCAGGCATTTATTAAATATTATGAAACAAAGAATTTTTAATTACATATTTTTAAAGGCTGAGGGTGTCCTCAATATGATCCTTGAAACAATAGACAAATTTTCAGCAATGGAAGCACTCCCCAATTTTGCCTCTCTTATTGGTATTAGGAACCAATTAATGTGGGAAGAAATTTCAACATATTTATATCTTCTTGTTGCTGCAATGATAAAAGGAAATCATTCAAACTGCGCTCAATTCGCTGCACTTCTTCGACTTGATTGGCTTTTTGGTAGATTGGGTAGGTACATAAAAATATTTTCATGAAAAATATTATTCAATAACTGGTTTAGCAAAAGGTTTAACAAATTTATTATATTATTAAAGATTATACTAAAAAATCAAAATCAAATAAAAAAAAGAAATATTTTTAAGGAGACAGAAATCCTAATTTTCGTTTTATACTTGTTCTTAACGTCGTCGGGGAGGTTGTCAGCAAAATAGCAGTTGTTTTTGCAATTGTTGTTGGCACTGTTGTTGTTTTTTTATTTGTTTGTGTATCGAGTTTGATCCAGACAATTTCGTCCCATCTTTTGAATAAATATTGAAGGGTTGATCTATGCCATGAGGCGACCTTAATAATAAATAAAAACTTTAATGTTTGAGGAAAAACTTTATAATGGAATAATTCTTTATCATCACATGGTATGTTATGTATAATTTGATCAGATTCTCTGTATATGTTCAATAAGTTTGTTTGGGATGCCATTATCAAAAGCGCTTCTAAAAACATGAAATAATGTTTTAATTGTTATATTTCAATTATAATTATCCACCGATTAAGGATGCATTTTCGTATGATAAACCATCTTTTAAAACTCCATATTCAACACTTTCATACATACCAAAAGTTTTGTCTGTTTTGTGTTGATTAAATCGTTTTTCAAGAGCATTTGTTATTCCTACATAACACCAATCATTTATTAGAGAATTTTTGCGCACTACGTAGACCTAAAAAACAAATAAAAATGAAAGAGTTTAAAAAATACCATATAACGACCATTTGTGATTGACAATTGTGTAAAAAATTGCTCTTCTTTAAAACTGGTAACATCGGTTTCATTAAAAATAATACTCCATCCATTATTAGCATAAAAATTATTTTTGCATTGTTGTTTATTGAAATGGCGAGACGGGCATTTTGAAAGTATAGAGGCGGAGCAAAAATGACATGTCGTTTTATCTTTAGATTCATACACTCCTATGTTAATTTCTGGATGCCGATCCCTCATATGTTTTTTAAGTTGTGAATTATCCTCCCGGTCTCTAGATGGAAATTTAATTGAAAAACTGCTTCCACACTCATTGCATATTGCTCTTTTATCATCATTTTCATCAATTTTGAAAAAATTCCACGGACTTCTTTTTTTTAAAAAAGGCTTATTTGTAGAGGTTGGGGTCGCTTGTATAGAATCCATAAAATTATATAGCAACTTTTTTAAATATTTAATTATAGAAGTTGGAAATTTTAAATAAAAGAACATAGTATAAGAGAAAAATAATAGGAAAAGAGAAAAAGTAGTTCTAATTTGACTGTTTGGCGTTATGCCCAATAAATACAAAGTATGATTTTAACGCAGCTATCAATACACTCTGTCAGAAAACTATAAACGCAGGTCAAAATTTTGTCTTAAAACCTATTTCTCTGTAGTAATATTTAAATTTCTATTTTAAACCTAGATAATAAAGTTACAAAAATAAGTTAAGTCACTTTTTACATGAAATTTTGGTGTTTTTCGGGGTATTTTTGACTTTTATCAGAATTGACCGTCAGAAAACTATAAACGCACTCGTGATTTTTATAACTAAAAACAATCAAATATGGATAATTTTATATTTCTTTGTAGAGTTATCCCTTCTTTATTAAAAATAAAAAAGAATTAGACCCATATCTCACTTCAATGTCGAGATCCAGATACCTCGAAAATCAACGTAAATAGGGGGTAAGGCTAATTAAAAAATCTTTTCGACCCCTTATGGTTTGTTTTAAACTTCCATTTTGGGCTCATTCGAAAGCCCTTAAAATTTGCTATAAGATAGCATAGTTTTATTTTCTAGAAAAAATATTTCAGAAAGTTATTAAGTTTTAAATCTTTAAGGCAGAGAAAAACACCTAGATGCCCCATAAAATTAGCTCCGGGCAATTAACGGCCTATATCTCTCTAATGAATTTTTCTCTGAAATACGAGTGTATATGTACCTATACTATGACAATAAATACTATTAGTGTACTATATAAATATTATATAATACTATAAATACTATGATAATAATATTAAATATAATTGTGATTTATAAATTAGCGAATCCTCAATCGGCAGAAGGAATTTTGGATGTTCTCTATTGTGTTTTAACTGAATCACCTGAGGCACTCAATATGATAAATGAGGGGCATATTCGTTCGGTCAGATTTTAATTAAAAATTAAGCAACACATTCCATTAATTAAAATAGCAAATACCTATTTATTTTAAAGGTTATCTCTCTGTTGGAAAAAGTTGGACGTGATCCTAAAGTACTTGATGTACTTTCTTCTCTTTGTGAAGGGAATGGTATGGCTGTTCGAAGCAGTCAGAATACAATAACAGATTATTTGCTTCCTGGCAAAGATTTACTTTTACAAACAAAAATGAGAGATTATGTTGCTAGGTAGTTTAATGTTTAAAGATTATTATTTATATATTTCTCCTTCAGTTTAATTCCAAATATTCTCGTTGGTCTAGTTGATGGAAGTTCCCTTTTCAAACGTTGGTACTATGAAGCTGAAGTTGAACATGTTGAGGCTTGTGAAGGTGCCGATGAACCACCTTATTTGCGTGTTGGGTGGGCAAATAGTGTTGGATTTAAGGTAAATTTAATGCAAGGGATTAAATAATTATTACTATCTTAGCCTTTTCCTGGACCAGGCGATGGTTGGGGATGTGCTGGAGTTGGTGATGATTTTTGTTCTTATGGTTTTGATGGAATGAATATGTATTATGGTAAACATTTTCTGCTAATTTTAAATATGTATAAATTTTAAAGGTGGAAAGCCTCGACAGGTTGGCCACAGGTTATTAAGGAAGGGTGATGTTATTGGTTGCCTACTTGATTTAATTGCCTCAGAAATACGTTTTACTTTAAATGGTCAAGCAATTTATTCACTTTTTAAAAATTTCAATGTTGATGGATTTTTCTTTCCAATTATGTCATTATCTGCAAAAGTCAGGTAGAAAATCTTAACTAATGGGAAATCTATTCCTCTCATAAAATAGGCATTTAAAAGTAAACGTGATTTATATATTTTATTATTACACAATACATACAAGCAGCCAAATGAACAATAAGAGAGAAAAATCTAACTGGGATATAGACAATATTTTACACCAATGAGGGATTACGGAAGAAATACATACGAGTTTTACAAAGAATATTTTATATCGATACATATATTTGGTCATCCTATATACTTATCACTCCATCACCATCCTTGGCTTATGCCTTGCTCTTCACGCTGCCACTTCGCCTGGCCGTACTGCCGCTTGGCCTGCCCGTATTAGCGTAGACACTTTGGCTAGGATTGGTCAGTTCCGTTTTGGAATGTGGTCGCAGGTTTACGTAGTGGCTTTCATCCATCTTCTTGGGCTCTGAAGAAGGTGATGCATGTCGCTAAAAATAGAGATTTTGTCAATATTTTTATTCATTCAAGTAATCAACTAACCGAGTGTCCCTTTTCCAGAGTTCGAGCCCTACGCACTTCTCGCAGCAGCATTAACACACGGATTCGAGTGGCAAGGCGCCAAGGACGAAGGAAGAAGAGCGAGAACACTGCCAACTTTAGAATCGACCAAACTGGGATTACGGCAAGTGCAAAGTCGAAGAGAGTGAGTAACGCATAGCAGGACCTTAAAATATTAATGGGCATTCTTTTGGTTATGTTATAAAGTCCATTACCAATAGGCAAGCATATCCTCCGAAGCAGCTCTCTCATCCGGATAGAAGAGACTTAGCAGTAGAGGAGTAATAGTCAGCACCACATTTACAGCAAAACATCCCTCTTCCGCAAATGCCAACCAAATGCAGAATGCAGCCACAATCACCTTTGCTATTATCGCTTCGTTGATGTCGAGGCCCAACTTTGTTTTGATCAAGGTCAACCATCTAGCCGTGAAGTGCTTCTTAAATAAAAATGGAAAAAATTTAGACTCGGAAAGATTATCGAAATCCAAACTTACATGGTCTCTAGCGAGCGCATCGAGATGGTCCAGAGTGACTTGCAGCTGGCCGTGGAACGTGGAAGAATTTGCACCTTCATATCCCATTGTTTTGACAGCGCGTGTGAGTAGAGTTGCAAGGCAATCGACGAGTAGAACAATTTAGAATAATTTACTCCTTCATTTGCCTTTTATAGTAATCCGTTGGACAAACGACCTTTGGGATCTTATCCTTCCTCCTATAATTTACCTAATTAATTAAGATTCTTAAAATCTCCCTTCGTATTTCTATAATACTTTTAAACAATATTTTCTAGTTGCCGTTTTATTTTTGGACGAAATCATGGTCGCCTCAAATTTGGACCTCCTTCAAGTTTCTCTCCCGTCTTTGAAGCATTAAATAGCCAATTAACGGTACAAGAATGTCTTTCCTTCGGAGACATTCCCAAACAAATCTTCTCTGGTCCATCAACAATTCTTCATTCAATTGAGCCTTTTGTGCCAACACCTATAGAAACAACTAATATTTCTTTACCTGGATTTGCATTGGAAGCACATATGAATTTTGCAGAGAATTTACATGAACTTTGGGCAATGAGGAAAATTGATTTAGGATGGAGTTATGGAGAAGTAAATAAGAATAGAATCTAAGTGTAATTATTTAAAATAGGTTCGTAGCGAACAAAACCGACTGCATCATTGTCTTACATCCTTCGATCATTTACCTGATGCCGAACGTGCTTATAATATTAATTTGGCCCTTGAAACATTAAAAACTATCGAGGCTCTTGGTTGGCATATGGTACTTATTTTTAATTTCTGTTTTTCAATCTTAGTTTTCAGATGCTTGATAAACCCCCAACACGCCTTCGTCCACTTAGACTTCCCCAAAGTTATGTTCAGTCAAATGGATACAAGCCTCAACCTCTGGATACTCATGAAATTGAATTACCTGAAGGAATGCAACCTTTAATTGAAGCTTTAGCTAGAAATACACACAATGTATGGGCAAAGGAGAAAATTAAAAGAGGATGGACTTTTGGAATTAGTGATGTGAGTGTTAAATAAAGATGATGATGATTGAAATTTTTAAACAATTTCAAAAAATTTCTAAAAATTCTTAAAATGTTTAGCTATTTTTATAAAATTATTTAGTACGTGGATGCAGTCCAAAAACGAACTCCACACTTGGTTCCCTATGAACAAGTTGATGAACGCATAAAAGAAGCAAATAGAGAAGCTGCTGCTGAAAATATTCGAACTCTTCAACTTTATGGAATTTATTTAGAAACACCAATAACCGAAAGAGATTTGGAGGCAGAAAAGGAATTGCAGGCACTTGATGCTTTGACTAGAACTTTTAGAGCAGAGGCTACTTATAAAGTGATTAATGGAAAGTGGTATTATGAATTTGAGGTGAATTAATATTTTTAATGAAGAAAGTCTTGAGTAATTTTTCTCAAAGGATTTTTGGGCAAATTTTAATTTTTTTAGCACTACAAATAAATATTCCAGGTCCTAACAGAAGGATTTATGAAAGTTGGCTGGATGGACGTCTCATCCCAACCAGAGAGCAAACTTGGTGTTGATACTTTAAGTTATGGCTTTGACGGACATTTGGTGAAAAAATGGCATCAAGGTGCTGAACATTATGGGAGGGCCTGGAAAGTTAGTAACATTTTTAATCCTTACTATATAAAAATTTCATTAAATCTATTAATTAATTTGATCAATTTAGATTGGTGATGTTGTCGGCTGTTTTTTAGACCTGAATGATCGGACTATTTCCTTCTCTTTGAATGGCGAACTTCTTTTAGACCCCTCAGGGAGTGAAATGGCGTTTGATAATGTACAACCTACTGATGGGTCTTTACAAACTTTTATAAAATTATTTAAAAATATTCAGTTTCGTTCCTGCAATGACTTTAGCAGCAGGTCAAAAAGGAAAATTTAACTTTGGCCAGGATTCCAATTCTCTTAAATTCTTCACCACTTGTGGGCTCCAGGAAGGATATGAGCCTTTTTGTGTGTATGTTATTATGAAAAAGGAAGAATTATCTTTATTAATTTAGAAATATGTTCCGCCCCATGCCTTTTTGGTATGCGAAGAGATTGCCTCGTTTCACAGAATTAGATAGCCATACTCGTTTGGATGTTCAACGAGTACCAGCAACTACAACATCTCCTCCTTGTTTGAAAATATCACAAAAAGCAGCAATTAGCGGAGGGGGGAGTGGAGACACTGCTGTAGTTACAGGAAGTACTGCAGCTGGAGTAGGTGGACAAGAAACTGGTGTAGGTATAGGCCTGCCTAATGAACGGTCTACTTCAAGAATGGAATTTTTACGTTTATCATTGCCTGTTAAATGTAACCGTACTTTTAATAAGAATAGGTTTTTAATTTATTTTTATTTCGCAAAATTTTTTTATTTAGCCGAAGCAAAGAAGAATTACATGCCAAAATGGAAGATTATCAACAAAAAAGGAACACTTCACTTAGTTCTTTAATTAAATTAGGTCAGACAGCTGCTATCAATGGAGAACAATTGACAATACAAAGCGAGGCTAATAAGGCATTTATTGATAAACTTTTTCCGAAAAATCTAATTTTATTAAATAAATTTACAATAATTTTAAAGGCTCGTGGAAAGAAAGGCCTCCTTTCTGTTTTCCGCCAAGGCAGTCAAGAACCATTAGACCCTGATCGACGTTCACAACGTACTTACAAAACATCCTCTTTTGACTCTTCTCCAGAACATCCAATAATGGATGGGGCTGCTGCTATGCTTGTGTTTGTATTTTTAAGAATTTTGTAGTCAAATAATTAATTTTAAGTAAATCAAGTTTAATGGAATTAAGTCCTGAAGAAAGAAAAGCAACAAAGAAAAGTTCTGGGGGAATTTTGGGAAGAATCCGCCAAAAACAGCAGCAAAAGTGGGATTATATTTGAATAAATAAAAGATTTTTAAAATTTGTAGAGATGAAGTTAAAAGGCATCAGAGAACAACAGATGACACTTATGGTCTGAAAGGACTTGATACAATTTCTGCCAGTGGGATAAGTCGAGCTGATGCTGCTGAAAGTAGGAAAATGAGAAAAAATATATTTTAATGTTCTAACTTTTAGTTACAGGAGAAATGCCCTCCTCTGGGCCTGGTCGTCAACCTACGATTGTTGCCAGAAGGACTTCTCCTTTAAAGAAACGTTTTGGAGTAGGTAAAAGACATCAACCTATGCCAGCTATGTCATCGACTGTTATACCACTCATTGAAATGAGAGAACCTTCTTTAGTTGATGGAACTCAACGATTTTCACTTGTTGCTCCAGCTGAGGAAGTTGGGCCAGTATTAGATGATGTACTTTCTATGCAGGAAATGGGCGATCAGGTGGATTATAGCTTTGAATTTATTTATGCTAAATGAGAGCGTTTAATGAACTTATTTAATTTTTATTATTTTTATCAGATTGATGAATATTACTTTGGCGTACGCATCTTTCCCGGTCAGGATCTTTCGAACGTCTGGGTTGGATGGGTTCGTCCACAATTCCATGCTTATGATAAGCAATTTAATGCTGAAAATTCTGTTCGTAGAAGTCGTTATACTGAACTTGACCATCAAGGTGATACAGCAGGAAGTATTGAATATCGCAATTGCTATATGTTGAATGCGGTAGGAGCAATTTTCTTTTAACGATTTAAAAAGTTTTTTAGGCAGAATTACTTTCCACTGTTGCTGACCCAAGCAACACAAAAGTATCAGGATTACTAATTGGCTGTTTAATTGATACATCAATTGGAGAATTAGCTTTTTATGCTCAAGGTCAAGATACTGGAATGCGTTTTAAACTTGAACCGGAAGCTCTACTTTTTCCTTCTGTCTTTGTTCAACCAACAAGCCAAGAAATTCTTCAATTTGAATTGGGACGAATTAAATTTACTTATCCTCTTTCATCTGCAGTTTTTAAATCTTCAGCTAAAGCGCTTATTCCTTATTGCCCTCCTCGACTCTGTGTAGAAAATCTTCGTTCAGTTCATTGGGCAAGAGTTCCCAGCAAAACTCTTAGAGCGAGTGCAATAAAACTTTCAGATTCAATTGGTTAGATTATCAGTCGATATAGGAAATCCCTATTTTTCTCAATTTTCAGGCTGGTCGGTGCTTTGTGACGAGCCAGTTCGCGCTCTCATGGTCTACATTCCTGAACGTGACGAAAGCATTGATATTCTCGAATTAATTGAGAAGCCCGATTTACTTGCTTTTCATGAACGTACATTGTGTCTTTATTGTAAATTAGCAGCACATGGAAATCAAAGGGTTGCTCACCAACTTTGTTCTCATGTTGACGAAAAACAATTAATATTTGCTGTACGCAATCCAAACCTGTCTGGACCAATGCGGCAAGGATTAATTAACTTCCTCATTGCAGTACATCTGAAAACTCATGCAGATGCCCGACTTTCAATGGCTAAAGAGTAGAGAATATTTTTAAAAAAATTTGTTTTTTTAAATTTTAGATTTATAATTCCTCTTGTTGAGGATGGATTAAATGACAAACACGTTTTTGATGCAAAATCTGAGGGACGTTATCCACAAATACTAGGATCTGTTGTTGGAATCTTGCCAACAATGAAGGCTGATCCTGTTTTGCAACCAAAAATGCCTGTATCTGCTCCTTTAGTGTAAGAAAAAAAATAAAATTTTTAAATTTAATCTAATGTTCTTTAGTTTATCCCCTGTGCCAACAGTACGAGATTCTTGTTCTACTGCCGCAGATAGTAGTAGCAGTAATCGTCTTTTACCTCCTCAATTGAATTTTCTTCGTCTTAAAGAGCATGTAATGAATGCTTTTCGAATGGCTACTCGAAATGCTGTCCTTAGTTGTCGAGATTTTATGGGTGGAGGAAATTTGGAACATTTTGAGTATTTTTAAATAATTAAACTAATAATAAAACTTTTTCAATTTTGTCAGACCAATTCTTAAATTGCTTGATTCTCTTCTAATAATTGGTTTAATAACAGACGAAGAACTTGTCGAAATACTTCAATTAATTCATCCAGCATCATTTGGTAGCAACAAGATTCATAATGATACATTTACTCCTGTTGCTAAAGGATTGGCAGATATTGAATTGGCTGAAGGTGTTAAACTTCAACTTGTTAGCATTCTCGAACATTTATGTGATATACAAGTAATTGAACATTTAAATTTTTTAAATTGCCTAAATTTTCATCTATAGGTACGTCATAGAATAGAATCTCTTGCAGCATTTAGTGATGGCTTTGTTGCAGAGTTACAACAAGACCAGTGTCGCCGGTATTTGGAGATTAAACAGACAGAAATGCCGCCAGCTGAAGCGGCAAAACGAACAAAAGAATTTAGATGTCCACCAAAGGAGCAGGTGGATAATAAAATAAATTTAGTAGATACATATTCTTTGAAATTTTGTTTAGATTGGTTTAATTTATTTTTTAATCATTTGTATTTTTAGATGTATCGACTACTCAATTGTAAAGTAAAGGAAGATGGGGCTATGCGATATATTGATGATGAGGCCGATGAAGATCAATGCCCAACATCGGAGAATTTACAGGATCAATTAAGAGAATTTTGTCAATCATTAGTTTTTAAAGTTAGCCATAAAAGAGTTTCAATTTCTGAAAGAGAGGGAAGTAAAGCTAAGGAAGAAGGACAAATTGAAGAGGAGGAAGAAGAGCTTTCATGGGTTGATAAATTAGCTCAATTACTTATTTCAGTACCTCCCATCGATAGACAAAATTCTAATAAAGATGAACATCAAGGGACTGAGAAATTTAGGTGTTTTTAAGATATCTTTTGTCAATTTATTATTTTAATCTTATTGTAGACAATTAATTGTTTTAACATTGAGACGTTGGGCTAATGAATCAGAAATTGAATCTAATGAACTTATTAGAGCAATATTTGCTCTTTTATTAAGGCAATATTCTGGAGTTGTCGAAATGATGGATTCTATTGGACAGACCTATGTTTTACATGAAAGAAATCTTGATGATGTAAAGGTGTAATTAATACATCATTTAAATATTAAATAAATAATTTTAGATATTTATTGAATATTTAATGCAAATAAGAGAATTACTTAATGTCCAATTAGAAAGTACTGAAGAAGGAATACTTAAGAGAGGTTTATGGCAATTAATGAACAATAGAATTTTCTTTCAACATCCTGATTTAATGCGTCTTCTTAGAGTACATGAAGATGTTATGACTATAATGATGAATGTATTAACTAGACAACAGTCAGCCGTTGAAGCTGCTGAAAGTGGTGGTGGGGATTTACCCGGACAAACTGTGGGAGTTTTAAATTGTTTTATTTATTATCGTTATTAGAAGGCAACGAAAGTTTAATAAGCTCCTTTTTTAGAATGCATCTGAAATGGTTGTAGCTTGTTCTCGTTTTCTTTGCTACTTTTGCCGTACTTCTCGTCTAAACCAAAAAGCAATGTTTGAACATCTTTCTTTCTTATTAGACAATGCTACAATGCTTTTGGCACGTCCCAGTTTACGTGGTTCTGTTCCTTTAGATGTTGCCTATTCTTCTTTCATGGATAATAATGAACTGGCACTTGCCTTGAAGGAAGAAGAATTGGATAAGGTGTTCAATTTTTTATAACTATAGAAATAATTATTATACAAAAGGTTGCCGTTTATTTAATGCGTTGTGGACTTCAACCAAACTCTGAGCTTTTAGCTCGGGATTATCCAGACATTGGATGGGATCCAGTAGAGGGTGAAAGATATTTAGACTTTCTTCGTTTCTGTGTTTGGATTAATGGAGAAAATGTTGAAGAGAATGCTAATCTTGTTATTAGACTTCTCATTCGTAGACCAGAATGTTTAGGTGTGGCATTGAAAGGAGAGGGGCAAGGATTGTTTGCTGCATTTAAGGTGTTATAAATTAATTTAAAGTAATTTATTCCCCCTCTCAGGAAGCAATTTCTTTATCAGAAGATGTACGCCACTTGGAAGAAGGGGAAGACCCTCTCCTTCTTAATTCTCAAATTCTTCGTGATCATGGAAAATATCCATCTAAAGAAATTGAAGGCGAAGACTATATGGATCTTGGGGCATCCATTCTCGATTTTTATTCCTCTCTTGTTGATTTGTTGGCAAAATGTGCCCCGGACCCTTTGACAATCCAAGCAGGAAAAGGTGACAGTGTTCGAGCTAGAGCAATACTTCGTTCATTGATATCACTGGATGATTTGCGACACATTCTTGCATTGCGATTTACTATACCCAATCTTGTGGCTAGCGGAGGAGGTATTGGAAATGGTGGCACTGCTGCTGCTCATGATGGTTAGTAGAATAGTAGAAAAAAATCTCTATTTTATCACACTCTGACTTTGGATTTTTTTCAATATGTATTAATTTCAAAGTCATTTATTTTACTTTAATAAGATTTACTATACTTTTCTCATTTACTATACTTTTACTATACTTTTCTCAAGCTCTTCTTTATACTTTCTCAAGCTTACTTTTCTCAAGCTTAAAAAATTTTATTAACACAAATAATTTTTCGTTGAAGTGCATCCCCCCTTTAACATTCCATCTAACAAATTTTCCAAATCCATTTCCTTCAGTAAATGGTATTCTCAAGAACAACAACCAGAATCAATTTAAAAATAATTCTAACTACATAAATAATAATCAAGAATATTCAAAAACTTCGAAGCCCCCCTTTTCTAAATTCTCTTCTTCCAATTCAATGGAATCTAAAATGCATGGGCTTGTAGATACTACAAATACATTTGCTAACATTGCTGCAACGCTGAGTGCTCGTGTCCGTCAACAGTCTATTTCTGTTAATTACAGGTGATTAATGATGGGGGGATTTCTTTTACTAACAACTTTTTTCTTGTAACCTCAAAAGCTTTAGAGCTTCAACCTTGCTTAAAGCACTTAACACACCAGCTTCAAAGGCTGCGTTATTTCATCAATTAACAACACAAAATAACATGCCTAACAATAATAAACAACCCCAATCGAATTATCAAACAGCAAATAATAGTATTGCTAGTACTAGATCAAACTCACCATTAAAAGAGGTTTCAGAAGACAGCAGCATATCTGGAGATAACATAGAAACTTCTACAACACCAATTCCGCCGCCCTTATACAACGAAGGATTGTTTTGCCGACGCAGGGGGGTTTCTTTGCCTAAACGGAGTGCTTGCAGTGTGTTTTTTATATTTTTTTAAATTTATGTTTTTACCAAATCAAATAGAGCTTTAAATATTTCTTAAATTTTTACTTTCAAATATGTTTATCTAAACTTTAATTTTAATTTTCTTAGATACTGGTCCCCAACCTGGACTTTTACCCAATCATAAACAATCTGTTCTTCTCTTTCTCGACCGTGTTTATGGCATAGATTCTCAGGCATGTGACCATGATTAATAAAAATTAAATATAAAATATTTCCAGGAAATGTTCTTCAATTTTTTGGAGCAAAGCTTCTTACCGGTAATTTCCATTTATGATAATTTTTGTGACTAAATTTATCATTCTAATATTTCTTAGATTCTCTTAACTCATTTACACCAAATGTTAATGGGGGATCTACATACTAAATATTTTTCCTCTTTTTATCACTAACAAATAAAAGTTTAGTTCCTTTTTACTTCAGGATTTACGTGCAGCCACAATGATGGATTCACCTCGAGCCTTAGAATCTGATACAGCACTAGCTTTGAATCGTTATCTTTGCAATGCTGTTCTGCCTCTTTTATCAAACCATTCACATTTCTTCGCAGATGCCGAACATCATGCACCTTTATTGGATGCAACACTTCATACTGTCTATAGAATGAATCGCCTTCGATCTTTAACTAAAAATCAGAGAGATGCTGTTAGTGATTTCCTAGTGGCGTTAAGTCGAGAATTACCTCCCACAATGATGGTTAAATTGTTGAGAAAAGTTATTGCCGATATTCAACAAATGTCGGATAATGTACTTGTCCCTTTGAGGGTAAGAATATTTCCTTTTCTACCTAATACAGTTATCATTACATTTTAATGTTAATAGATAATTACTTTGCATTATGAACGTTGTAATAAATATTATGGGAGTGGAAATTCTTTGGGTGCTGCATCTGAAACAGAGAAACGATTATCAATGCTTCTATTTTATGCTATATTTGATTCCCTCTCCTCTAAACCTTATGATCCTGAATTATTTGGAAAAGCATTGCCCTGTTTGACAGCTATCGGTTCTTCAATTTCACCTGATTATGCTCTCACTTCTGAACGAGCTGAACTTACTACTGTTTGTTTTTTTGTTAATTTTATTGTGAAAATATTATAAGTTATTTTCTATTTTAAATATTACTATTTTCCTTTATTTTTAGTCCCAAGACTACGAAGGTGTTTGGGTTCCCCAACAATTAGATTACTCAAAAGTTACATTAAATAATGAATTAAATGCAATGGTACAGAAATTTGCTGAGCATTTTCACGATTCCTGGGCTGCACGCAAATTAGACAAAGGATGGACACATGGATTATTATATTCAAGGCGAACAACTAATCATCCTCGACTTGTTCCATTTCATCGTTTACAGGATTATGTAAATTTTTTTGAAATTTTATTTGTTTTATTCTTTATTTTCAGGAAAAAGAATTTTATAAAGAACGTTGTGCAGAATGTATTAGAGCACTTGTTGTTTGGGGATATCAATTTGAATTAGTTGATCATGATGCTAATGAACGTGCCAATCAGAGTAGAGTACTTTCTGGGCGAAATGAACGTGTAATATATTATTTTTTGAGGATATTCTTTAATTCTTTATTAATTTTCTTAAGGATTTCAATCCCCGTCCAGTTGATCTCTCTAATATGAACTTGGATAAAGAAATTCTTCAAGTCGCTGAACAATTGGCAGAGAATTCCCATAATCTTTGGGCAAGAAAAGTCTTTGATGATTTAGCAGACAATAGTGCCCAATACCCTTCAATGCCTCTTGCTCTTGTTCCATGGGAATTGTTGACAGATTTTGAAAGACGCAAAGACCGCTTCAGAGCCCAAGAAGTCCTTAAATTCTTTCAATTTCATGGATATCGAATTTTTAGGTAAACTAAATATCCTAACTAAAAATTAATTGTTTAAAGTTCTTCCGACTCAATGGATCAAATGTCGATTGTTGACCGTTTCAAAATTGATGGAGGGGCAACAGCTAGTTGCACTAATTTAGGTGCTGATCGTTCTTCTGTTGAAAAGCGTTTTGCTTTTAATTTACTTGAGAAGTTACTTGCATATCTTGAACAAGCCAATGTTCGAATGAAATCTTTAAAACCTTCACATGAATTAACAAAAAGAAATTCTTTTCGAAGGGAAGGACAAGATGTTAAATTTTTTGAGAAAGTTGTTCTTCCATTAATGTTCGCCTACTTTAGTGCCCATAGAAATTATTTTTTGGCAAGTAGTTCAATGGTACAAACTGGGACTGCTTCAAATAAAGAAAAGGAAATGGTAGCAAGGTAAATTATTTCTGAATAATATTTCTGAAGAGACTTGCAGTCTTCCTTTAATTGAATTAATATTTTTCTTTTTTAGTCTTTTTTGCCGTCTTGCAGCTCTTTTGAGAATTAAAAACCATGCTTTTGGTAGTGTTGCACGTATCACAGTTAAATGTCTTCAAGGGTTAACGCAAGCTTTGGATGTACGAACGTTAGTGAGGATTAATTCTGACATAATTCGAACAGGTGTTTTTAATACAAAATTCTATCAGATACTACTAAGAATTAAAACTTAAAACTGAGATAGGGCTATTTATAATTTTATTAAGGAAACAAAATTATTATTACAACAAAAACAATGTACATATAATGAAAAACAACAATAATTAGTGTTATTTATATATTTATTTATACTTTATATTCTTTTATCAATCTCGATACCCTCAATTTCATTCTTCCTTTGTTGGAGCAGTGGTTTCAGCGTCTTCGACAGCGTCCTTCCCCGCATCACTTTCATCGGCCTTCTTTTCACCTCCCCCACCTTCCTCTTCCTTCTTTGTGCCAACTTCATCCTCTCCTTTCGATACATCAACTTCGCTGACTTCTTCCTTTTTCCCTTCTTCATCCACTGCTTCGCCTTTTTTACTGACAGGGGATTCCTTCACCTTTCCTCCTTCATCCTTCTCTTTGGAGCTAGTCTTCTTTGCTTCTGCTCTAGGCGAATCTGTTGTTGGAGGCCCTTCTTGTTTTTCCCCTTTCTTAGGTGTTGAAGCCTTTGCCTTCTCCTTTAGAGTTTTTTCCTTGGCAGGAGGCGGCGGTGGAGGTTGTTTTTTGGTATCCTTTGCTGATGGTTCTGAATAATTTGAAAATTATTTTAAACTTTATTTTAAGTTAAAATTTCAACTCACTTTTCTCCTTTGCATCTGGTAAAACCTTCGGCTCCTTCTTGTCGATGGCTTCTTTTGGTTTTTCTTTTTTGTCCTCGGCTACCTTTTTCGGCGCTTTTTCTACATTCTTTTCTGTAGTTGCTGGGAGCGTTGTTTGTTTTTCCGTCTTTGAAGTTGCCATCGCAGATCGCTCGACTGCTTTATCATCCAATTTGATTGCAGTTTTAACATTGTTTTGCACTTCGGGCGTTTGGGCACTTTTTGGTGCTTGAGGTTCCTTCTGTGCTGCTGGAGTGCTGGCTTTCTCGACACGACTCTCCTCCGCTTCCATTGTTGGGGGCACTTCCTTTAAACCATTGAGTTATAAAAATTGAAAATTAACATTAGAAACTCACAACGCCAAGGGCAGATCCAGCTAAAGGTTTTTTTTGTTCGACTTCGTTTTTCTCATCACCTTTCTTGCCTTTGTCCTTCTTCTTGCCCTCCGCCTTCTTTCCTTTTTTCTCCTTTTGTGATGGTGGTGGTAGTTTCAATGTTGTTTGTTTCATTTTCGTCTGCGTCTGGATATCCTTTTCAGTGGCAAGCATCAACTCCCTTTCAGTTCCCCTACAATTTAGAACTATTAAATATTTAGTTAAAACACACCTCTTTGGCTGTTTCTTTTGTTTCTTGGCACAGCATATCGGGAGCACAAGGGCAGTAGCTAAAGTGAAGAAGAGCAAGATCAAGAATGCCTGTAGCGTCGAAGAGGTGAACATTTGCAAGCTGAACACTAAAATAAAGATTAACAAATATATGAAAACGTAAAGGTTAAAACGAACTTTGTAACAGTAGTCGAGAATAAACGCAGTAACAATTGATAGTGAAAGCCTAATTGGGATTAAATTTTGGATTGGCTTTTATATGTACATTGTTTTTATGGGAGGTTTTGTGGACATTTAATAGAGCTTTAGATTTATCTATTCAAAGTCTATTTTTTATTCGTAAATATTATTTACTATTCCATTTTATTAAAGAAATTGGTTTAAAAAATTTTTTTAATTCATTAAGGTCTTTTCATTTTCTTCAACAATTGCGCAGAAGACCTTTTTTCTGCTGTAAATGAACTTCGCGAAAGCGGCCAATATTCCTTGCTTCGTGGAGAAAATTTGAAGTTTTTAAAATTAGTTATTTTAAAAATATCTACTCATTTTTATGTCGTGGATTTCACTTGAATTTGCCTTTCAAATGATAGTCCCTGTTTTGACTTCAATGTTCGTGCACCTTGCCAAAAATCATTTCGGAAGCGAATTACTTTGTAACGGATTAATTTTTTTTAAATTTTACTTTTGTTTTAGTGGACGACATTCAAGCATCCTGTTACAAAATTCTTGACAGCCTTTACTTAGTTAATGGGCTTTCGATAGCTTATTCACAACGACGTTCAATTCAAATTGAAGTAGAAAGACACCGCGCAGCTTTGGGTCAATGCCTTGGTGCATTTGCTGCTACTTTTCCTGTAGCATTTTTGGAAAATGAATTCAATTCCTCAAATAAATTGTCGGTGCTGGCTAAAAGTAGAGAGCAATCTGTTCAAGTTCAAGAAATGCTTCAAAATCTTTCACAACATATTCCACAATTAGATAAAATCCTTCTTGACATTGAACAAACTGCTGAGAAAGGGTAAAGCATTAAAACAGATTTGATTCAGAATTTTAATCCATTGATAATTTTAATTAGTCTATTCGAGTTTTTTTGGAAATTATTTTCATAATTTATTATCTTTTTTAGGAGAATAAGATAATAAATCCAGTTAAAGGTTAATTTTTACTTTTTTCCAGTGTTCTCTACATTGATTCTCCAAATACATTTGATGTTGATCTGCCTCTAATCTGTTCATATCTAGCATATTGGTGGCAGTTTGGCCCAGAAGGTCCTAATCGACCCTCACTTCCAATAACTCAAGTCAGCAGTGAACACATAAACCGTTTCTTTTGTTCACTTCTCCGATTGATGCGTGATCATATTGGAAGAGAAATTGCTCCGTGGCTCTGTCGTGCACATTCCTCAGCTGTTCCTTTAATTCAATTTGTTAGTTGTGATCCAGTTAAAGATTATTTGTTGCCTGTTGCTGAACATTTGAGAAATATGGCAGAGAAGGCATATACTGAAGAGGAAAGAATGAGAACACATCCTGATGAAGCTGATGATGCGGCTGTGGCTGAGGTGGTTCTTAAACTAATTAGTCTGATTAAATTCAGCCTATCCTTGCAATAAAGGAAGGAATAATAATGAATTTAAGGATAATGCTCGTCTTGTCAGAGATGTCTATGCCTTTTTCCCGATATTAATGAAATATACTGATTTACATCGTGCTAAATGGTTAAAGACTCCCTCGTGGGAAAGTGATGGAATTTATGAAAATGTTGCCGTTATCTTTAGGATATGGTCAAGAAATACATCTTTATACACTAAACATTTTCTTAAGGTCCTTAAGTCAGCATTTCAAAAGAGAGGAGCTTAACTATATGGCTCAATTTGAGGATAATGATACAGAAGATGGAGGAGGTGCTGGAGGAGAAATGAAGACTGGTAAAGCAGCAATTGCTGAAAGAAAGAAAAGACGCCGTGAAGGGCAAGTAATAAATTTTTTTTTAATTCAATAGAAAATATAATTTTGTTAAAAAAGGTTCGTCGTAATAAACATGCAAATAGCATAGTAATTGCTTGCCTTAAACGGCTTCTTCCTGTTGGATTAAATGTTTTTGGTGGAAGGGAATTGGATATTGTCCAACAGAGCAAGGAACGCTTTCTGGCAAAAGAAAATGAGGATAAAGTTAGAGAATTTATTAAAGGACGTCTTCTACTTCCTGTGGTAAATAAATTGTGAAAATTAAACATTTCCTTCAAATAATTTATTAGCGTACCGATCCAACAGACAAGAATGCCTGGCAATTAAATTTATATCGAAAAATTGGAAAATCGCAAATGCGTAGCAAAGAAGAAATGAGTCATGAGGCGGTTGTTGACAAAATTGTAAAAATGGGGCAAGTAGTTGCGATACTACACACGGTAGATACTATAATTAAATATTTAATTTTTTGTGACGCACATTATAGTAAATATTTATGTTTTGTAATTTGTTTCTTTTGTTTTCTTGAAATCTTTTGTCTACTCTTTTTAAAAAATTTTTAGATTGAAATTGTATAAGTTTTCCGATTATTTCTATTTAATTAACTGTCCGATACACTATAGCACAAATAAAATTTTTGGAAAATAGGGTTAATCAGAAAAAAAATAAATTTTTTGTATATTCTCGCACATTCAATTGTTTCAGACCGAACATCCTCAATCTTTTAAACCTTCTGAATGGAAGAAAATGGTCAGCAATCAAAGAAAACGTGCCGTAGTTGCTTGTTTTCGGATGATTCCAGTCTACAGTATTCCAAGGTATTTTTGTTTGGTGTGAAATGTTTGTGTTTATTTTTTAATGTTTGTTTGGTTGTGTTTTAATGGTTAAATAATTATCAATTAAACTTGCTAATAATAATAGTAGCTAATTAAATTAATCATGATTTTTTGATTAAACCTGTTATTGTACTCCAATTAATTTATTAGAATGTCTAAAAATATTTACATTGTTCGATTTTATTATTAGGTTACAATTCGATCTGATGGGGAACATAAATGGAAACGAGTTTTAACAGCTCAACGCAAACGGCTGGTCTGTGCTTTGATAACGACTATACATCTTTACAAACTTGAAAAGTTTGCTTTTTTGCTGTTATTGCTTTATTTTAATATTCTTGGCTTTGTTTTAATCAAACGTTAATAACAATTTTGTTGCCAAAATTTATAAGAAACTAATGCCCGGATTATTTTTCGAGATCTAAGCATTCTTCCTTTAATAACCACATTTTATTTTCAGGCATCGTGGTATCAATTTATTTCTGCCTGTGTTCAGTCAAAAATGGTTAGCGGATGAAGACGTTGACCAAGATAGATTAGTTGCCGATGTTTGTGTAAGTTAAAGATAAATTTTTAAAGTCATATTATGCTTCTAATTAAAGGCTACTAATACACCTGGAGTAGCATCTACTACGATACGATCTATTGAATCGGCTTCACCAGTTGTTGCACATCTTGTAGAAGATGAGACTGGCCTTCTCAAAATTGAAGAGGGACAAAACGAAAAGTAAAATTGATTTTATAAAATTTATTTTTTAAATTTAAAGGCAAAGTAACACAAATCCTGATGCTCTGAGTCAGCTCATTCAATGCTTTCAAAGAGCAGCCACTAGTGAGGAGAGTGGAAATCAATCTTTTAGCACTGCGGATGACAAGTGAATAAATTCATTAAGACTACAATTAACATTTTAATAAATAGATTATTCATTCGCTATGCTAAAGTTATGTGCCGTTCTGTCCATATTGACAAAGAAGACGAGGATGGAGGTGGAGGTGAGAACGATAAAGAAGTCGATCAGGCTGAAAAAGAAGAAATGGTTCAAGCACTTCGTGTCGAACAAGCAGTTCTTGCAAATAGGGGCGCAGCAATTATGTAAGTATTTAATTTTAAAAGCCTTAACTTTCGTGTAAAAATTTCTTTGAGTAAATAACACGGTGCAATAAAATGAATGCAGATTTTAAAAATTAATAAGTGGAATATAAAATAGTAAAAAATTTTTTCCTAGGTGCTTAATGTATCTAAGTGCCGCAAATGGAGAACCGAATGAAATGGTGGCTGAAACTCTGCAATTGGGCATTCATTTGTTAAGTGGAGGAAACAAGGATATTCAAAAGGTCCGAGCTTCATTAAATATATAATTCTCTTCCCTCCCTTTTTTGAATTATCAGACGAGTTCTTTTGTTTAGAACTTGTTTGTGGAGATTATATTTAAAATACATAATTTTTCAGATGATGCTAAATTATTTACAAACAGTAAAAGATGTCCGTTTCTTCATTTCTCTATCGGGATTAATGTGTAAATGTAGTGTTTTAAATTTGGAAATGTTTGAACGTCAAATAAAAGCTGAAGGTTTGGGAATGGGGGCAGAATTAGCTGCTGGTGAACATCAAAATTTAAATGATGCTGACTTTACTTGTTCTTTATTTCGATTTTTACAATTAACATGTGAAGGCCATAATTTAGATTTTCAAAATTATTTGGTAATTATTTTTCTAAATAATTTTCAAAAAATATTTTTTAAAGAGAACCCAATCTGGACATACTACAAGTGTTAATTTAATTAATTCTACAGTTGACTATTTACTTAGACTACAAGAATCTGTTATGGGTAAATAATGATAAACTTGGACTAAAAAATAGAAAATTAAAAAAATTTTTAGACTTTTATTGGCACTATAGTTCTAAAGAAGTAATTGATGAAGGAGGAAAAGAATATTTTCTTAGAGCCATTCAAGTATGCAGTCAGGTATTTATTTTTAATTTTTATTAAAATAATTATTTAATTTTAGGTATTTAATACACTCACCGAAAGTATTCAAGTAAAGAAAATTATGAAATTAAAAAAAATAAAATTAATTTTTGAAAGGGTCCCTGTGTTGGTAATCAAATGACTTTAGCTAATTCTCGACTTTGGGATGCCATAAATGGATTCTTCTTTCTATTTGCTCATATGATGGAAAAATTATACAAAAATAGTACACAATTAGAATTGTTGAGAGAATTTCTGAATTTACAAAAAGATATGATTGTTTTGATGCTTTCAATGCTTGAAGGTGTTTGAAAATTAAAAATATTATTTTTTAAATTTTTTTAAAGGGAATGTACTTAATGGGCCAATTGGAAAGCAAATGGTTGATGCTTTAGTTGAAAGCCAACAATGCATTGAAATGATTGTGAGTTGACTTATGTAATTACAACAAAAACAAAAAAAATTGTTAGATTTCGGTGTGAGATTTAGCCCAATCTATCTAAATTTTGTTTTAAAAATATTTTTGGTTCCCCGAATTCTAATTCTAACGTGTTCTACTCTATATTTAAATATTTTTATATCTTACTATTTTCAGATCAAATTTTCTGATATGTTTCTCAAATTAAAAGACTTAACAACATCACAAGCTTTTCAAGATTTTGATACTAATCATGATGGATGGATCTCACCAAAAGAATTTCAGAGAGCAATGGAGGCTCAGAAAATGTATTCGATTGAGGAAATTACTTATTTAATGATGTGCACTGATGGTAAAATTTCTCTTTTTTACAAAATTTTCAAAAATTTCACCAAAAATTAAAATTTATGTTAAAAAATATTCTTTTTACATTTTTTCTCTTTTTAAGTAAATAATGATGGAAAAGTTGATTATATGGAGTTTACTGAAAGATTTCACAATCCTGCCAGAGATATTGGGTTTAATCTTGCTGTTCTCCTTACCAATTTAAAAGAACATATAACAAATGATCCTCGACTTGAAAAAATTGTCGAAAAGGCAGCCTCTCTCCTCGAATATTTTGATCCATTCCTTGGCCGTATAGAAATTATGGGATCTGCCAAACGAGTGGAAAAAATTTATTTTGAAATACAAGAAAGTTGGCTTGAACAATGGGGAAAGCAACAGATTCGTGACTCTAAAAATGCTTTTCTCTTTAATGTTCTTCAGGATGATGGCGGTGATCAGGGGAAATTAGAAGCGTTTATTAATTTTTGTGAAGATACCATTTTTGAGGTGGTTATTATGAATTTCACCAAACATGTTTTTCATAACCCCGCCAAAACACTCCATCAATATCCCCTTAATATCCACCCTTATAATCCATATCACAATTTGAGTGATTTCAAATAATTTTAATTTTATTATTCAATAGATGCAACATGCCGCTGAGATTAGTTCTTCTGAAGGAACTGACTCAAAATTAGAACGGGCTATGCGGCAACGCGACTATTTTCTCCAACAAACAACTGCTGGTGAACATATATCCAATACATTAAGAGCTGGATATAAATGTGGATTATCTGCTTTTACTTTTTTAAAACCTGAGTTTGTATTTGATTTTAATTTTCTTATTCAATTTTATTTTAGAAATATTCAAAAAGAATTGAAAAAGGCAGCAAAGAAATTTAGGTAATTTGTTATTATATTTCGCATATTATTGGCCTTATATTAAAATTTCATTCCTTTTTAGGTCAATGACGTGGGGACAAGTCTTCAAATCTTTGGTTCGCCTCGGCTTCTCCCTTACCCGTTCCTTAGTTATGTTTATTATTTTTTTGCTTATGACTGTTTTTCGATTTGTTGTTAACCTAATGAGCGATCATGAAGATATACCCCCCGGCCATGAGGATGCTGAAAAATTGGAGGCATCAACACACGCCGGCAAATTTGGCGCTCATCTTCATCCGACAACTGCTCCATCAACTCCAACCTTATTAAGGGACTATACTAAAACTTCAACCTTGCATGATGTTGATGCTTTCGGCATTCATATACACCATACAGACAGTCGGGGTCACAGTCCTGCTACGGCAGGTCTAACAAAAGATAACTTTACTTTTTTTATAAACTTTTTTTAGCTCAAAGCCGTCAAGGTTCTCCACAAAAACAACCTCCACCTAATGGACCTTCAACAATTGGAAGGCATCAAAAACCAGCAGATGAAGAAAACAAAAAACAATATTCTGAAGAACCTGCCGATAAAAGAAAAACAAGTACTGGAAGCCAAAAAGTGAGAATTTCCCCTTCAAGTAATGAAAATGAAGGAAGAAATGGAAATCGACCATCATTGGATAGCACTATACCTCAAATGCATAGACCTAGGTGTGGCTATATTACTTATATATTTTTACTTATACTGAATTACTTATATATTTTTCTTTTTAATTTTTTCTAGTATTTATGATTTCCAATCATTATTTGGTGGTGGGGGTTCTGCTTATTTTACTGAACTTCAACAGCAACAACAACAATTATTGGCACAACAACAACATCAACAACAATTGGCATTTTACGAGCCTAAAATAGCTGAACAATTTAATTCTCGTCGTTCACGTTCTTCTCTTTTAAATATTTTGGCAAGAAATTATAAAACTGTTGAAAAGATTACTCTTTGTTTGGCATTCTTTATTAATGTTATTTTACTTTTCCATCGAGTTGATATTGTCAGTAGTAATGAAAAGAAGGATAACATTGCACAAATTGAAGCATTACACAAAGGAAAGGGAGAAGATGATGATAATGATGAAGATGAAGAAGGAAATGTTTTGGAAACCATTTATATTGTTAGTTTTTTAGATTACCGTATTTCCTGTATTATAGACCCTCAGAATTAGAGCCCCCTCCTTAATAAAGCCCCCTTTTGGAGAGTGGTTGAAAAAGAGCCCCCGTCTGAATTAGAGCCCCCCTCTTTAATATAGCCCCCTTTCTGGGATAGTTGAAAAATAGATCCCCATGGGGCTCTAATACAGTAAATACGGTATTCCATTTTGTTTTGTCCGAATGAGTTTACCTTTTAAGAAAAAATATTTACTATAATTTAATTTTTAGACTGGAATGACTCTTCCTTATATTAGCTACGAGATTACTGGTTGGATTCTATCGCAGGTAGTTAATTGTAATTTTTATTTCAAAAATTATTTTTTTTAGTTTCTTTATTGGTTAAGTGTTTTGCATGCAGTTGCTTCTGTAGCCCTTCTCGTTTCCTTCTATCAACTTAAAATTCCTTTAATTACTTTTAAACGAGAAAAGGAAGTAGCTAGGAAATTAATGTTTGATGGTTATTGGATTACTGAAGATGAATCTGGAAATGATGAAAGGGGAATTATTGATACACTTTTTTGGTAAATTTTATTTGAAGAAAAAATAATAAATTCTTTAGGTATTTGGACAGAATTGTAATAAGTTCAAAATCCTTTCCAATGAAATATTGGGATAAATTTGTTAGAAGAAAAACAAAACAAAAATATAGAGAACAAGTAGATGAAGAGACCTTAGATTTGTTGTTAGGGACTGAAAGAAGTCCTGGCGACACATCTTTTGATTATCGGTATATTTAAATTTTTAGGAAAAAAATTTAAAATTATTTAAAGTTATTCTTGTTGGCTCTGGACGGGTGTAATTTTAACAAATAGGCAATTTCTTTATCGAGTTTGCTATTTACTTTGTTCTGTTCTCGGTGTTTTTATTTCTCCATTTTTCTACGCCTTTTTATTAATTGACGTTGTTCTTTCATTTCCTATGCTCAAAGCAATTCTTCAATCTGTTACACACAATTTACAACAATTAATTTTGACAATTATGATGACTTTAGTTGTTGTTTATTTATATACTGTTGTTGCTTTTAATTTCTTTAGAAAATTTTATGTTCAGGTATTTGTTGAATTAATAAAATTGGAAAATGTTTTTAAAGGAAGAAGATGGAGGTGAACCTGATAGAAAATGTCATTTTATGCTTACTTGTTTTATTTATCATTTTTACGCTGGTGTTCGTGCTGGGGGTGGAATTGGGGATGAATTAGAGTCTCCCTATGGAGATGAATTAGAATATGCCAGAATGCTTTATGATATTTCTTTTTTCTTTTTTGTTATTATTATTCTTTTGGCTATTATGCAAGGTGAAACAAAGGATGATCCTCTTAAACAATTAAAAATATTTTTGTAAAGGTCTCATAATTGACGCATTCGGCGAACTTCGTGACCAACAAGAATCTGCTACAGAAAAATTAGAATCTTCTTGTTTTGTTTGTGATATAGGAAAGGAAACATTTGATAGATTGCCTCGCGGTTTTGATAATCATACCAAAAAAGAGCACAATTTTGCTAATTATTTGTAATTTTTAATTGGAATATTTTGTTAAATTTTATTTTTTAAAAAGGTTTTTCCTCCAACATTTGGTTAATAAAGACGAAACTGAATATACGGGTGTGTTTAAAATTGAGGATATTTTAATTGAGATTTTAATTTTTTAAAGGGCAAGAAACTTATGTACGTGAAAAATATGATAATCGAGATTGGGAGTTCTTCCCTGTTGGGGAGTGCTTTATGAAACAATATGAGGATCAGTTGATTCAATCTTCATAGAAATTATTTAGAAAATTAAATATATTAGATTTTTTGTTGTAGTGTTATTAAAAATATTTTTTTCATTTTTGATATTATTTTAGTAAAAATTCAATATAAATATTAATTTTTAAATTAGTCATGATTTGTTAGTGTTCCGCAATAGGAAGTTAAATCTAGACAGTAAATTCCCAAGTGGATTATTTTATCTTAATTTACATTGCTTTCCTAATAATTAAATGGTTAATCTTTAAAAACAACTACATATTTCCAGATTTGAACCCGGATTTCAAAACGAAATTTAATTTCTTACTCTGATTAAAAATGAAAAATAATAACTATTTTTATGAGAATCGAGGTAATGATTTTATTTTTTAATGTTTATATGTATTATTTTATTTTTTTTTTTTTTTATTTTTTTTTTATATTTATATCTTTTCCATCAACCAAAAATCTCATTCATCAGTATTTTTCTTTCCTTCACTTTTTTCAATTGGTCCCTATTTACGCTTCGGATATTTAAGACATCGTTGCAGATGTATTGTCAATAGAACATTTGATTTAATTTTGTCTCTACAAAAAACACGCTTTAGATCATCATCTAAAAGATACTACGTTTATTAAATCTATAATTATGGTTTTTATTTGAGAGTTTAATTAAGAAATAATCATGTTGCTTGTCCTTATTCTGTCACACCCGTACAAGTGATACTCTTACTTGTCTCCATACTCTTACTTGTCATTTCAATATTATCAAACTAAAATTTAAAAAAAAATAAAAATTAGAATCAGAGAATGATTGAAAATGTGTTGGTTGTCCTTATCCAACATGCTAATGGATAAGGACACCATCATGTTGGTGTCCTTATCCTTATAAAGTTAGAATCTCAACTAATAAAATTGAAGGAAGGAATGAAAATCGGTCATCATTAAATTATGGCAAAAACAATCTTTTACTTTATTTAAATTTTTGTTTATTATTTTAGTAGATTTTACATAAAATTAATAGGTATTTTTTAATATTCAAATTTATTTTATTTTTGTTGTCTATGTACTTAGTTGTTCTTTTAAAATTCAGTAAATAGTCTGGTTTAAATTCAAAATATTTTATTTTATTGTTTTAAATATTTAAACGTTTACTCCCTTGAAAATAATAATTATTAAAATAAAAATCATAAAATGACTGAAAAAAATAAATTTTATATAATTATAGTGCTTTTACTCTTTGGAATTTCTTTCTATTTAGGTAAGTTATTTAATTATTTTAAATTAATCTTTAATTTAATGATAGTTTTCAAAAAAAAATTTATTTTTAAAATTAAAGTTAAAGAATTTCTTGGCTTTCCTGATGATTTAATTATAACAAAATATTCATTTATTCGAAAGGGATTAAATTTAAGTGAAGCTGAATTATGGGAAAAACAAAATAATTTAAATTTAAAATATATTAATTTAACTAAAATGGATATTTGGAGAGAAAATAATTTAACAAAATTTTTGTTAATTGAAATACCTAAAGAATGGAATGGAGAATGTGGAGGGTTTGCTAATCAAGTAAATTTAGACTGAATCAAAAATAAAATATTTTAATTAAAAAAAGATGTGGAGATTTGCAGTAATTTATGTTTGGGGTTTACAATTAGGTCGTTATCCTGGAATTTTTAATAACAGTGCGTGGACTTGTGATTCTTTAAATTTGCCAAATGAAATTGAAGAAACATTTCCTGTTGTTCACAAAATATTTATTTATTTTAAAGTTTTTTAAAAGAATAATTTTTAAAATAAATTTATTTTAAGCCAAATCAAATAGAAAATAATACAAAATATCAAACAAATTATGATGTAAATGAAATGATTAAATCAAAGGAAAAATATTTAAGAATTCTACCACCTCCACAAATACATAAATTATTTAAAAATTATAGAAACCAAGTTAGAGAATTATTTACATTTTCAAATAAAGTTAGGACAATTGTTGACAAATATATTAATGAAATATTTAGGTATTTTAATTTAAAATAATATTTTTAAAAAATATTTAAATATTGTCATTTAAATTTAATTAAATATTTTATTGTTTGCTCTAAAAACAAAAAATAAATATTTAATTTTAGAAATGATTCTTCCCATAAATTATGTGTGCACACAAGATTGGGTGATTTTGGCACGATTAAATGGCCTAAACATCATCCATCGAGAAAGGATTTTACAGAAGAATCTACAAAATTTGTTTTTAATGAAATAAAGGTGTTTTTAATTGTTTTAATTAATTTAAAAATTAATTTTTAGCAAATAAATAAGAATAAAGAAATTTCTTTAATTTTACTTGGAGCAGACAAAAAATTTCTGTCAGATTTAAATTTTGATGGAATTAATGTAAATTAATTTATTTGTTATTTAATTTAAAATTTAAATAGCCAAAAAGAGTGTTTATACCCAAAAATATGCCTCGAGGACAGGATATTTATTTTTCTACAAAAATCTGTAATTCTTTAATAATTACTGCATCAGTCTCCACTTTTGGATGGTGGATTGGTTATTTATTAAATGATATAAAATCTCAAATTTATTTTTATGATGATTTTGATGATAATACAATTTTTCAAAGAAAAGATTTTCCTCCTGAATGGATTCCTCTTAAATTTAATTTAAAAACTAAACTAATTATTAAAGAACATTAAAATTCAAATATAAATATATAATTTAATTTATTAAACATATTTTTTACTTTTACTAATTAAGGTTTATTAATTAAGGTTTCTCCTTTCTTTCTCCCCTCTGATAAAGATTAAAAATGTTCAAGGATTAATAATTATCATGGATTAATTAAAATAAGGCAGTCAATATGAGAAAGGCGTCATTTTTAATTAGTCTTTCAAAGTTCTTTTCAGATCATTGAATTTCGGATCAACCTCCGAAATAATATTTACATTCACTCATTTTTTATTTTGCATTTTTATTAAGTTGGTGAGACAGTGTTATGAATGGACTGTGTTTTGGTAATAATTTGCCTGTCAATTGTCAATCAAAAAGCATTCTTATTATCAGTATTTCAGTCTCTTCATCTAAAGACTCTTCAAGTTTATGCTTTTTAAGACAAAATTGGAAGTGTACTATCATCATTACATTTGTTCCAACTACAGTTCCACAAAATAGACACTTTTTATTAGACTTTTTACCTAAAATTTAATTTTAGAAAATTTATTATTGTAATTTTTATGTAAAAGTTTAATTAAGGAATAATTAGATTATTTATTCATATACCAGAAATCCAAGCTTCATTGACCGACAAATTATTGACGAACTTAATTGCTTTTGACAGATTACCAGAAAATTCTTCCTTTGTTTTATCACTTAAATGTTTACCATAAATGTTAATTAATTCTTTAAATATTCTTTCTGTTTTCTCTCTAATTTCAATAGCCTTTTTTAGCGATTCAGTTCTCTCAATTTCACTATTTCTATTCTTAAGCTAAAATAAGAAAAAATAAAAAAAATTTAGAAAATTGTTGTTAACCAAAAGTTTAGCTTCTTTACATTCTTCTTCTCGTTGTTCGACCAAAAAATAAATTTAATCTCACATTAGTAAAACAAATTTAAATTAAAAATCGGAAAATAAATCTATCAAGAATATTCTAATTTATATCAAAGATAATGACATGGGTCTATAATAATTTAGTCTCCTTCGAAAAATCGAAACGAAGGGGGGGGGGAGGGGGGGAGGGGATGGGTTAATTTAGCTAGTTTAAGACTTTTTTCACTTATTAAATACTAAAACTTTTAAAAATGTTTTTGTTACACTTGACTATGGCATATTTTTCACAAAATATGCTTTCTAAATCAGAATTTACCAAAAATATAATATGTAGTAATTTAACTAGGGTCCGAAACTAACCGAAATTTTCGGTTAACCGAAGCTGTTTCAAAAAATCGAAACGAAAATCTTGGTCATTCATTACCCTAAAATTAATAAAATATATTGTTAAGTATAAATTATTTTTTATTTAATTTAAAAAATTATCCTACCAGATTTTTTTTAAAACTTTCTCCCAAAAACATGTAGACAATAGAAGAAGAAGTTAATAAATTTTTACCATAATTTTATAAATATTTTTTGTATTTACTGTGTGTATATCTAGCCATATTTAATTTAAAAAATTTATTTAAACTTAAAAAAATGTCGAAGGAGGATATACATAAATAGCTTACAATTCTAATTCTTTAGAAAATAAACTATTAGATCCATTGAATATATCAAAAAGTAGTTCAATTGGTAATGTTTTCCTTTTATTTTTTATCAATTTTTGTTCCATTCTATTGTTGTTTTTTTCAATTTTTCATTTAATTTTTTAGAGACGTTAATTAGGTTAGGGGCTAATATTTAGTTAGTTTAAGAGACTAAAAGATTTAATAAATGATTGAATTAAAGTAAAAAAATTTTAGGCATTAATTTTAAATTATTAGAATTATTTTTTGAGCTTTAATTTTTAGAATGTGTATTTTTTGGTGAATTTAATGATATGTAGAAAGGACAGAGTTGTTTTGACCTGCTTGTTTTATTTATTCAATAAAAATTGATGCAATAATTTTTGGATGAAATCTATGGGCCGTTAGAAGAAAAATACCTCCGTCCGAAAATCACACAGCACACTTTTTATTTAATTTTAGATTTAAAAACAAATACAAAATTAAATATAAATTATTAAAATTAAAATATATTATTTGATTGTTTATTTAAAATTAATTTATAATTGATCAAATAATTTAAATTTTGTTATGACTTATGATATGGCTAGCGAAGGTGCTCGCACGAAGGTCGAGCACCTTCGCTAGTAACAAATAATAAAAGATAAAAAATTATAATTAGGGTTGCCGTTTTCGAGTCGGGCCGACGGTCGAGGCATTTTTTCGGGCTTGTTTCTATCGAATCAGGCCGGTACGAGTCTTTTTCGGGCCAAAAATCTCCCGACTCGATCTTTCGGTCCGAGTCGGTCCATTTTGGCACCCTAATTATAATAACAAACAAACAAAAAAAGAAATTAATTATTATTGCTAGAAATGAATCAGAAAATAAGCAGAATTTACTTTTTCTATTTTCACTTTTGGGGAAAAACCAAACTTCATTTATAATTAAGTCGCTATAGAAAAACTTTAAATTCTTAAGGAAAAAAGAAAATAAATATCCCTGCTAGATTATTTGGAAAGTTAACGTACACTGCGACGCAAAATTATACGTCCACTCCAAAAATCCACACAAATCTTTTTAGCTATTCACTAAAAGGTCTGTATTTAAATTTTCAGAAAATTCGGAGCAATACAAACAAAAAATTCTAAAAAAATGGGTGGACGTATAATTTTGCGTCGCAGTGTATAAACAATTGATAAAGCTATTTAAATTTATTTTTCTATATAAAGGATATCTTGAATAAAACATGTTTTCCTTTAATGATTATAAGGGGGGTGCTTTAAAAATTTTTTTATTATAGCTGCTCTTAAAAACGGCGCTTTTTAATACCTTGTTTTTCATTTAAAAATTTAATCAGGTTATGAAACAGGGTGAATTCTGATTCCGAAAACTTGTTAAATGAAAAGCTCTGATAGGATATTTATCAAAAAATATAAACAGAAAAACACCCCCACCCTCCAAGATTGAATAAATTTATTTGAATTAAATATGTAGTATAGATTGTCCAATTTTAATGTCCTTTAATAATTAGTTTAGTTTTTAAATTAAATTTAAGAGGAATCCATTCAGGAGGAAAATCTTTTCTTTGAAAAATTGTATTATCATCAAAATCATCATAAAAATAAATTTGAGATTTTATATCATTTAATAAATAACCAATCCACCATCCAAAAGTGGAGACTGATGCAGTAATTATTAAAGAATTACAGATTTTTGTAGAAAAATAAATATCTTGTCCTCGAGGCATATTTTTGGGTATAAACACTCTTTTTGGCTATTTAAATTTTAAATTAAATAACAAATAAATTAATTTACATTAATTCCATCAAAATTTAAATCTGACAGAAATTTTTTGTCTGCTCCAAGTAAAATTAAAGTAATTTCTTTATTTTTATTTATTTGCTAAAAATTAATTTTTAAATTAATTAAAACAATTAAATACACCTTTATTTCATTAAAAACAAATTTTGTAGATTCTTCTGTAAAATCCTTTCTTGATGGATGATGTTTAGGATTAAAAGGCGGTCCAAAATCGCCTCGTCTTGTATATACACATAATTTATGAGAATCATCACCCCTTTAAATGATTTGTTTTTATTAAAAATAAAACCTGTATTAATTGCCCCCTCCCCAAATAATTACCCCATTTCTACCAATTACCCTATCCAGCGATAGATTGGAATAATAATTACTCCCCTCCCCACTACAAATACCCTAGAATTCGTTCAAATTTCAAACCTCCTATAATCACCCTCCCTTGTTTAATTACTCCCCCTCAAGCGGATGGTCGGAACAATAATTACCCCGGGTAGTTAATAAAAGTTTTACAATAAATTACCCAAATATTTCCTCAATATATTCATCACCAATTGTTCTAATTTTATATGAAAATGTGTATAATTCTCTAATTTGATTTTTTACATTTTTAAATAAATCGTGTATTTGTGGAGGATAATGAATTCTCAAATATTTTTCTTTTGTTTTAGTTACTTCATTAATGCTGTAATTAACCATAAATTTTGTATCCCCTTCAACCTCCTCTGGCTTTAATTAAATATTATTTTTTAATTATTTATATTCTTTTATTCCCACCTTAAAAGAAGCAAAAATTCTGTGGGCAACAGGAAATGTTTGTTCCATTTCACTTGGAGAATTTTTGAAAGAATCACACGAAAATGTTGGTTTGTCAAAATATCCAGGATAACGTTCTGTTTGTTGTCCCCAAACATACATTACAGCAAAGGCCCATATCTATTAAATATTGAATGTAATAAAGTTACCGTAAATGCTCTAATTAAAGCCCTGGGCGTTTATTTTACAAAGGGTCAATTAGAGTAAGCTTATATTAGGGTAGGCTTCTATTAGGGAATGGGAGTTTATTTTTCGATAGGCCTCCTTGGGTGGGCTTGTATTGGATATGGGCTTAGAGCATTTATGGTATTTATAGATAATATTCTAGATAGACGATCCAAAAGATTCTGGGTTGGTTAGGATTATTTGAGATTTCTGAAGCTTCCCAGTGGTTTTTGACTGAAATTTAGATAGTTTTCAAATTATTTTTCGGATCCCAAAGCTTCTATATCTGCATATCTCTATGATATTTATTTACTTGATTAGCAAACCCTCCACAAGTTCCACCCCAATGATCTGGAGTTGTTTCTAACAAAATAAATTTAGTTGTTTTTTGTTTCCTCCAAATATCCATTTTAGTTAAATTAATATATTTTAGGTCCAAATTATTTTGTTTTTGCCATTCTTCAATTTCATTAAAAGGCCGTTCTTGAGATGATGAGGAATATTTTGTTACAGTTAAATATTCGGGAAATCCAATAAATTCTCTAACTAAAAAATTTTTAAATTAAAAATATATTTATTTTGATTATAAAGTATTTAATATTTTATACAATTCTTTTTATTTGAAAATTAAGCTTCAATGATGTTATATTAGAATTTCAGATCAATTACTATAATTTAATTGCTAGTCAAACTTATTCTATAATACTTGATATATATTTACAATAAAGAATTAATTTTAGAGGATTTGACTATACAAAAGAATGAAGTCGTTCTATTTATGACTTAAGGGTTTACATCGTATATTTAAAAAAGTTATACATTTTAGTAAGGATATTTACAAGATTCGAGTGTATAATGTTAAATGATCAGATCAATTTATCGCTCTTGGACGCACACTCAATTTAAATTCCTTCCCAAATAGTATAAATTTTGTATGATGGCATAAAACTAGGGCCCAATATTTTTGGTTATAATTTTTGTTTGTTTCAACCTCTCCACCCCAATTTTATTTATTTTTATCCAAACTATATTTAAATTATAAAAAATATAAATTTACCTAAATAAATGGTAATTCCAACAAACAATAGAACAGTAATTAATTTAAATTTATTTTTATTGTTCATATTCTTCATAAAAATAAAATATTCTGAGAATCTAAAAAAGTAAACACAAATAATTTTTAGGATAATAAAATTAAAACACAAATATATTTTATTAAAAATTATAAAATAACTCTTGAAAATCTAAAATAAATCTAGAAATAATAAATCTGAACAAATAGAATGAATTTTGGAAGAAGAAATTGAATAAAAAAAAAGAATTTTCTTGCCAACGAGTTAAAAAATTTATTTATAAATAATTTTTTTAAATAAAGAACTAAAGATTAAAGTTTTTTAAATATAGAAAGTGATAAAAATATTTAAATTATTTGAATCTTTCTCAAAAAATAAAGAGAAGTATGGAGCAAAATTGAAACGAGTTAAAAAAATAAAAATATTTAAATCTAAAATATCTTTATGAAAAAATATATAATGCCAATTTTATTATTCAAAATTGCGTTAAAATTGCGAAGGAAAAAATAATAAAAAATAAAAAATATTTCTTTAACTTTTTTTGCAAAAGATGTTAGAAATTTCACTTAAAGAAAATAAAAGTGAAAAAAATTTTTTTAGAAAAAACGAAAGCATAAAAACACTAAACAGACTGAACACTCCTCGTATTACACTCTGTTCCAAAATTATAACCGCACCCCTATTTTTCTCAATATTTCATGTTCCAGTCAATTTTTTAAAAAGATTTTTTCAATTATCATATAGGGCCGAGGGATAAACAATATTTAATAATGAAATTGATTTTTTAATTTGAGGACGTTAAATTATTTAACTTTTTTTGAAATAAGGGTGTTCCAAAATTATAACCGCACCTTTGTTTTATAGGTTTCTAATAATGGGAAAAATCCACAAAAATTTGTGTGAACATATCTATTGATATTAATGAGAAATACAAAAGAAACGAAGTTCTAATATACTTCCATCATCGAGATCTTGAAACCCGAAAATCAACGGAAAACCGGGGGTAGACGTCTTTAAAAAATATTTTCGACCCCTTACAGGTGAAATAAAAATTTCATTTTGGACCTATTTGAAAGCCCTTGAAATTTGCTACAAGATAGCTTTCATCTCATAATCAAGAAAAAAATTTATCCCTGAGAAATAATGAGTTTAGTTTCTAAATTACATTTTCATAACTTTTTGGGGGGCGTTTGAGTGATTTTTATGATTTGAAAGTTTATCACATTATGTCTTAAAGGTGAATTTTTGCCGAAAAATAAAATTCATGCTATCTTGTAGCAAATTTCAAGGGCTTTCAAATAGGTCCAAAATGAAATTTTTATTTCACCTGTAAGGGGTCGAAAATATTTTTTAAAGACGTCTACCCCCGGTTTTCCGTTGATTTTCGGGTTTCAAGATCTCGATGATGGAAGTATATTAGAACTTCGTTTCTTTTGTATTTCTCATTAATATCAATAGATATGTTCACACAAATTTTTGTGGATTTTTCCCATTATTAGAAACCTATAAAACAAAGGTGCGGTTATAATTTTGGAACACCCTTATTTCAAAAAAAGTTAAATAATTTAACGTCCTCAAATTAAAAAATCAATTTCATTATTAAATATTGTTTATCCCTCGGCCCTATATGATAATTGAAAAAATCTTTTTAAAAAATTGACTGGAACATGAAATATTGAGAAAAATAGGGGTGCGGTTATAATTTTGGAACAGAGTGTATTTAATTCAAAAAAATAATAATTTAATTATTTTAAACATTAATAAAGCTTCGAGTTTGGATAATTATATAATTAATTTTAGAAAGAGAAAAGAATTGAATATTTTTCCTCAAAATTTTATTTAAAAAATCCTTAATTTTCTACAATCGATTTTTTAAATAAAATCTGAACAAATAAAATAATTTTTAAAGAAGAAATTGAGTAAAAAAAGAATTTTTTGCCAACGAGTTAAAAATATATTTATTTATATTTAAATAATTTTTTCGAATAAAAAACTAAAGATTAAAGGTTTTTGGGTATAGAAAAGTATAAAAAAGAATAATTAAATTATTTGAATATTTTTTAAAAAATAAAGAGAAAAGTATGGAGCAAAATTGGGATTTTTATACAAAACTTATAATGTTTTTATTTTTCAATTCAATTTAATAAATTAATAAATTAAAACAAAATTATTTGGAGAATTTAAATTAAAATAGATTTTTTAAATATAAAATAAATTATAAATTTTTTTATAATTTAGAGGGAAACTAAAATAATTAAATATTCAAAGCCCTTATTTGTTGCGATCCATAAATAATAAAAATATTTTTTGTTATTAAAATTTAGAAATAAAATGTTTTTTTTTTCGTAGAATTATTTTTAAAATATTTTAGGAACAAAATAGAATTAAAGAAAATTTATTTTAATTTTTATAATTGTAATAATTAGAGACCGGATTGGGTCGTGCGAGAATCGAGATCTCGAAAAATTCACGATCTCGATAACCGAGATTTTCCATCGAGATCTTGTCTCGATCCGGTTTCTAGTAAATAACCGTTTATAAGTTTTTATAAAAAAAATTTTTATATTTATTTCTTGACTTGTCTAAAATATTTTAAATTGAAAAAAAATTAAAAACAATTTTTATTTATTTTGAAATACATAAAAAATTACAAAAAGTATTTATCATTTAAAATTTAAAGAAAATATTGATTCATTGTTAGCAGCTAAAAAACAAATAAAAATATTTATTTAATACTTTTTCGTTTATGTAAATATAAAAATTGTTAAAAAATTTTTAAAAAGTTTAATTTTCTTTCTCATATTTTAACAGAATTAAAAATTAAAAAGGAATTTAAAATAATAAAAATAATTAGTTAACTATTTTAATTTTGTTTTTAAATTAGGAAACTATGAGGATTATGTAAAGCATATAGCTATTCATTTCCTAAGGCTGAGCAGTAGGCGGCGTGGTGTAATGGCTAACACATCAGTCCGGTCTACTGAAGATGCTGGTTCGCTCCCAGCCGCCGAATAACCTTTAGCACTAGCTAAAGGAGAGAAATAGCTATAGCCCAGCTGCTTTACTGGTAGCACCGGATGGTTCAGCGAACGCTGAACGTATGACGATCCATCCCATAGGCCCTGGGTTAGAGAAAGGAAATTCCGCCAGAGAAGGCGATGATTTAGTTTACCCCGCAGGTGAGAGAAAAAGCGGGAAGAGGGCAGATAAGAAGACTAAGGACAGTCTTCCCTGGGGATGGAGGTGTAAAGCATATAGCTATTCATTTCCTAGGCTGAGCAGTAGGCGGCGTGGTGTAATGGCTAACACATCAGTCCGGTCTACTTAAGATGCTGGTTCGCTCCCAGCCGCCGAATAACCTTTTGCACTAGCTAAAGGAGAGAAATAGCTATAGTCCAGCTGCTTTACTATTATTAATTATTAGGGCGTGTCAAAATATGCACGGAAAATCCCAAAATATGCGCATATATATGCATTGAAAAAGCTCAAAATATGCACCAAAATATGCATTAAATATACAGCAAAAATAATGAAAATATGCTTTAAAAATAAATATTGAACTTAAAAAATACTAAATTAGCATCTAAATTGCAGTTTAAAAGCACTTCTAAAAGATTTTATGAACTTAAGATTCAACCCAAAAAAATTTTTTTGAAAAAAATTATCGCGAAAAAATTTTTTGAAAAAATTTTTTCAACAAATTTTTATTAAAATATTTTTTGCCCAAAAATTCCAAAATTTTGAAAATTTTGCCATATTTTAACTAAAATTTCTCAAAAAATGCCAAAATATGCACAAATTTAGGTAAAAATATGCAAAATTTCCCAAAATATGCATCGATATGCAAATATGCTCAAAAGTACCGAAATATGCAAAAATATGCATTAAAAACCGGGTCCCTAATGTTCATATCGACGTAAAAACACCATTTTTATGCGTTTCAGCTCATGGCATATCCGCATGCAAAATATGCATTTGCATGTTTTGACACGCCCTATTAATTATAGTTTAATTTTTAGTTTAGGAAAATATTAATTTAAATTTAATTTCTAATCATCAATGTTTTTAGTATTTTGTTTTTAATTTAATTTGCAATTTAAAATTCAAAAATGTTTTTCCTTCGTTCAGAAATTATTCATTTCCTAATTTCGAATATTCAAAAAAATTTGTTAAATAAATTATTTTTATCAATTTTTGAGATGAAAAACTTTTTTATTTAACACGTTGCAAATAAAGAGTGATGAAAATATAAAATATATTTAATAGAAAATATCCACATCGAAACATTTATTATCAAAATTTTAAATAAATTTTTGTTTTTATTGCAGGCTATAAAAATGAAGGAAAAAATTGAAAGGAAAAATTGAAGGGAAAAATGAAATAATAGTTGAATTATTTTTTGA